AAGGCATCAGCTAGGGCTGCTACCGCAAGGCTATCCGGTGCCGCAGGAAGGCTGTAAGGCTGAACCCGCATGCTCGTCAGGAGAATTACCTCGAGATTGCAGCGAGCTCTGTGGTCGTCTTTGTGCCCGTTGTGGTGTTTGTGTTCGTGGTCTCCATCTTGTTGATGCAACTTGATGAAAACTGGTGATTGCTGTTGCGAGCATGGTCGACAGGGATGCCAGCATATGCCAGCCTTGCTTTGTTGTTGCACACATGGCAATTGTGGCTAGAGTCTTGACTCGGAAGTCCATCGGAAGCCTGTCAGCCATGCTGATGCTGGTGCTTTGGCCCTTCTTAAAGAGATGGTTCTGCGTCGCAAACGCATGTGGGAAATAGAGCGCATCAGTGCTTAGCACTCTGCCCTGAAAGGAACCTGCTGATCGCGCAGCTGACGCAGTCCTATCACGATGCCTTCTCGAACATGCAGGCGTGCAAGGAAGCAGTTCTGACGTTGACATGATGCAAATGTCTGGCAAACGCAGCATCGAATCACGTGTTGTAGTCACACTGCAGGCGGAAGCAAAGGTGCAATTCGCTGCAAATGTGTAGTCGCGCCTCAGGCACAAGAAAACCGTAAACAATTCGCTGGAATGGCTGATTCCAGAAGGGACTCCATGTGGAAATTCTTGAACTGCCTTGCTGCCCCATGCTGCCACAAGGGGTTGCCACAAAAAGCTCTGTGCATCTGCACAGGAGAAGGGTTTGTATGGCGATTGAATGATTTTTCCTGGCAAATCTGACAGTGCCTCATGACCTGTCGTGCAAATCTTGCCATGTCGTTCAGGGCTATGCTCGCTTGAACCGGGCCGCCATCACAGCCAGCACTTTGCACTCCGTGTCACGGATGCTTGACGACCTTCGCAGACTTGTTGATGTCTTCTTTTCTGAGTTCTGCTCGTACCGGTTGTCGCAAGAACTGGCACACAGGGTTTGGCCGCATTGCTGAGATTTGGTAATCGAAGCCCAGGAAGCGATGGTCAGCGTTCCTGAATGGCTTGGCGATGGAGACTGAGCAGCACTGGGAGCTTTTGCACTTACGTACTTATCACAAAAGCTAGCTCTGTTGAGCTTGCGGGAGTTGTCCTTTAGCAATTCACCTTGTATTAAGGCACTAGGGAAAAAACAGGGTTTGCACCTTATCAGGTGGGACGTCCAAGAGTTAAGGTCGGGGGTGGGGGGAAAGGGGGTGCCGCCCCCCCCCCCTCACCTCGTGCATGAAGTATCTTCGAAGGATAAGGTGCAGCGCGCTCCCCCCTCCCTCCCCTCCCTCCTTGAAGGTTGCGGCACGTGGCATAAGGTAGAGGGTGGGGGGGGCCCTCCCCCCTACCCTCAAGTCTCTCCCCCTCCCCCCCTCGCAAGGTCCCTCAGTTTGCTTCTGTTTGAAGTCTGTTGCATGCGCTGCGGCTTGGCTCCAGCTCTTCCGTCTCTCTCGTGGCTCCACGCCTTTTTTTCAGTTGTAGTCTTCATGTCAAACGTCCCCCCCGTGCAGCCATTCGCATCGCCTCACTAGTCACCCCGTGTTAGTGTTCCCAGCTACGCTTCCTTTCCCCTAGCCATCGTCGCCCTCTTCTCAAGTTTGTCAAGCCAGAGTAGCATCGGTCGCGTGATCGGGATGTGATGTCGAGTAATCTAGAAGCTCCTTCGTCAGAGGCGCGGGTCGCTTACAGGCAAGTTGCACAGCCAAAGATGCCCAAGCCCCGAGGACACACCCTTGGAGTTCAACGAAGGAGATGTCACTCGGCTTGCCAGACACGTGAAAGGACACGTGAAAGTAACATGATGTAAGTTTGTTACTGAGCATCTCTGGTACCAGAACAAGGCTCCAATTTCGGCGGTGGTTTGTTGGCTGGAGTCTTTAGATTCCGCTGCGACAAGGTTGGCCTGGCCGGAGGCATTCAAGTCCTAGAGCCGGCAAGCGCCCATCCTGTCTTCGAGGAGCTTCTGGTGATCGAATCTTAGTCGCGGCTCATTCCGTCAGCCTCGACTGGCCAGGACACCATCAAGCGCTACGGCGGCAGCACAGACCCCCAAGCACCGTGGCCACGGGAAGTGGTGGAGGACGCATCGTTTCAAACCTGTGCCATCTCTTGTTGAAAAGTTCAAGTTTCTGCCGTACTGCATCCAGTCGACTCTAGACTGAGAAATGTCAGGAAGCGGACGACCGGCTGGCGAAATTAGCAGCTCGGCCTTCGAGATGACCTTCGTAGGACATGGGGCTGTCGGCACCCAGCCAAGACAACACGCCGAGCGAATTGTAGTTATGCTGTTGCAGCTTTCCACTTGTGCATCAAGTCGTCCACACGCAGGAGAGGAGTGGCTGCCTGCTAGGACAACTGACTAATGTCGGTCCTGTCGAAATCGCGAATCAGCCACCAAAATCCCTGCCCAATTTGGGTGATCGCGCCGTGCAGATACACCCGCAGTTGTGTCCTCAACGTCGTAGCTGCCCAAGTGCGGGTGCTGTGATCCCAAACTCTGGGCCCAAGGCATGTTGTAGGATGTAAGTGTAAGCTTCAATGTTAACCTACTTCTAGACAGCCTTGCTTCGCGGTTCGTTCAGCCATGCAAGAGGCAAAAAAAGATTATTGCTAGCGGCTAGCATCGACAGCTCCGGGGAGGTGCCATGACATGTCCAAGGCTGCTGCGAATCTTCTACAAGCATAAACCGCAATGGACCTCAGAAGCCGTGCCTGCGTCAGCGAGTGTGCGAGTCGAAGCCGAAATCATCCAAATTGGACACGAATTATCGCGATGCAAACGGCAAGGCAGAAAGGATCGTGCAACCTCGCCTTTCTGGTCGTGGTTCAGAGAGTCCGCAACCACAGCCAAGGAAAAGACGCTGTCCAAAATCGAATCCTGGATGCACTTGAGAATCGTTGAGACGGTGGATGCGGACGGAATGTTGCTTCCGAAACGGGAGATATCATTCGGTGCCAGGAGAGTCCGTTTTTCCGTGCTGAATGCCCAAGGTCAAGTCCCAGGGCAAAAAGCGAGGCGGGGCGTCCGCGCATGGCAAGCTCTTGGAACGTTCCGCTCTACGTATGGTAGATAACCACATGATATTCCATCGAAAGGTGTTTGGGCTGTGCTACTCGTACGGGGAACACAGTGGAACAACCCACACGGTCCGTGGAAGGAATGCATTGCACGTCTTGTGTGACTTGAGGGCATTTCGCAGGCATTCTAGTCAGCATGGGGTGACGAGATGTCGGGAATAAGACGTCGGAGTTGCATGGTGCCCATAATGATTGCGTAACCCTGTGCTGACGGATGTGACATGCTACAAAACATGCAGCATACAATCCAAGAACAAGAGACGATGACAAAACAGTCGCTGCGGCAGCATCGCAGAAGGGGTGATGTAATTGCTCGCGCTAAGTGACCCCAGCGAAAGCCGTAAGCATCACACTACTGCCGCTGCTTCCACTACGACAAGACTACTACGATCCTGATAATCGTGACAGTGACATGTACCACGGCGCAGCACACATCACCAAATCGGCCATATTCGGCAGCAGCGGCAGTTTCAGCGTCAGCGTGATGATGCTGGAAATGCCCCGACGACGAGCATCATCTTCGTCATGTTAGTCAGCTAGTCGACACTACCATCACCTCTTCAAGATCCAGTCAGCCTCACTAAGCCGCAGTGACACTGCGCCTGCATCAGGCCGCGGCGCTGGAGCGAGCAGCATGGGCGGAGTCATGGCAGAAGAGAGGATTTCTGGTCGGAAGCCTCACACCCGCACTGCATCGCACATCTTAGGGAGCAGCGCAGCGTCTTCCAGCATGGCCATGGACGATGACGATGACTAGGCCAACCCTGCAGTTTGTGCCCTTGGCCGGCTTTTTGATTTCTGTGCTCCTGTGACAGTGTTGGGGCGGTTTCGTCTTCATCTCGACTGAGTCGGGTAGTGTCTTTCCTTCGGGCTTATGTCAAGAAGCCTAAGCACACAGATGCCCTTTCTTACCAAAGCTCTTCGGATTTCGGGTGGGCTTTGGATCTAAAGGGTCATGCTGAAGGCCTGGTCTCATCCGCGCTTGGTTCCACGGGCCTGGATGAAGCAGCATTTAGAAGGGCAGTGTTATCAAAACTCACCCACCCACCCGCGGTCCGCAGTTCACTCACCTTCGACCCTGTGAAGTTCTGCAGGTCTTGCGATTCACGATCTCGTCTCACTCAGCCTGCAGCCGCACGAGGTCGGCGGTTTGCTGTTGGGCAGTACCGTCATGCCGTGACGGCCACAGCTTCCAATTATGTATCTTCAGCGTGTTGGCCGGCCTCGTGCCACCTCGCCACGCCTTTGATTGACCAATCCTTGAGCCACTGGCTGCAGCCGTGTGAGACAAAGCCACGCCTAGGACAAATGCTCACAAGATGTCTGAACTAAGCTGGCTTTAACAAAACCTTGCGACCCTTTGAGCACCGCAGTTTAGTTGGAGCAGCTTGCTTTGTTTAGAGAAAGCCTTTCCTGGGATGATCATTAAGACTGCAACGTGCACATGCCCAGCTTCAAGTCGTCATGCCAAGAAGCAGCCTGGGCCTGAGGACGATTTCAAGCTGGCAGGCGAGGGAATTCAGCACGTCAGTTGCCCGACGTGCAGCATCTGGTGCGGGGAGGTTTCAGCTCTGACCCACAAACTACACCCCGATCCGAAAGGAGCTTGCACTTCCCTCGGACCTCATTGGAGTCTGTTGGCCGCAAAGCGGCCCAAGCGTTGTCTTGCCGAGCTCCAGGCCAACAAGTGCGAAAAGAACCAAAGTCCTCACAGCTCCGGAGAGCCGTATGTGCAAGAGGCATGGGTCATCTGACTTTTGGCTCAGCTGGACGTCTACACTTCCCGAGCCTTGCAGCCTTGCAGCCGGTACCGGCGACCTGCACTTGAACACAAGGGCAGGCCCGGTCACAGTCTAAAGTCGAAGCATCGTGCTCAGAGATGCGCGGCTCTTCGCCATGCCGCCATGGCCAAGATGATGGCTTCGCGGCTGAGCGCTCTGGTTCTGGTGCTGCGCAGCTTAATGAGTAACGTGCACTCTTTGTGGGTCTTGCCATGAGGGACATCACGGCCCGAGTCCATCCTCCGGATTTCAAGTTCAACTCAGGCTTGCTGCTGTTCTCACTTCCAGTGAGCTGGAATGCTTGCAGATGCTGGCGAGGCCGTGGATCATCATGGCTCTGCTCTGTAGCCTCTAAGGCCTTGCGGGCTCAGGCATGACAAGCTTCTGGCGGGGCTCAGCCCTGGGTTCACCAAGGACTTTGGCAGGTCATGGTAGCACGGTCTAGATGTGTCCTGACATGCAGGACACTCAGCGTGTTTGCCGGTCGGCAAACTTGGCCTCTCTGATTGCCAGCCCATGCCAATTGTAGTCCCGGTATACTGTCGTTTTGATCGGCTGTGTCTAACTGTCCAGGCTAGGCTGATGCATCATTTCTGAGCTGAACTATCTATCGATCTCCCCGCTTCTCGCTTAAGCCGAGAAGCTGGAGCCAAACTGGCAGCCCGGTAAATCTCTTTCCCCCACCCGCCCGCCCTGGGACAGCGGCCACCCTCCCGTTTCTTGGGATAGTACCACTCCTTCGTTTCAGGTACATGGAGCTGCATGGGTGACATGAGTCTCTACGTTCCACTTTTTGGTCCACTGATGTATCAGAAGTCTGGACCGTCTGATTTCCTAGAGATCTGGAGGGGGGGGGGGTACCGGCGACGTGCTTTACCTTGACGAGAGATCGAGACCTGCGCCCGAAGGTTACAAGGAGTGGTGAGTTCGATGCCTAACCTTTCAATTCAGTCACTCTGACAGTCTGACATGTGTTCATCGCGTTCCACACGATCCGCTGCCGATGGCTGCGGATCGTGCTGCTTCCGGCAAACTCAGGATTTTGCGACTCTGGAAGTTCACCTCCCGCGAAAGAATGCGTACATTGGATTCACTGGCGTTGAGTTCGCCCATTCGCTTCGGATGCTCCAAGTGGTCTACTACTTTCGAGATTTGCAGAAGGACATGGACTGCTTCGTAAATTGGATACGGCAGAAGCCGCATGATACAACAGCACTGGTGCGGTGCTTCACCAATGGCCTCGCCCAGGTATCTGCAGCGAGTGCTTGAGGAAGCGTCCCGTGCTGCAGGCACCGCAACGCGGCGAGATCAAAACACATGCGTGAATCTCAATCTCAAGCCGACAGGCCACAACCTGTCCGCAAACGTCACAGCTCGGCTTTGGATTTGCTTACCGGTGCGCTGCACCGGTGACGCGGCACTCCTGCGCTTGGCTGCTCGATGGCACTTGCGCATCACTGCTAACTGCCAGGCTAAGGTGTAACGACGAGGCGCATGCTGCAGGGTCTGGATTGAGTTACGTGTGGCAGAAGCGCTCTAGGCTGAGGTCACACATCGGGCGCTGGCACGCCACATGGGCCTGCCTTCGCCGTTCCCACGCGCGCTGCAGCCAAGCGAGCTGTCACCGCGGCGGCAGATGGCGGTTCTCTGCTCTAAGCTCTCTTCGGCAAAGGCCATGTCATGGGCTTTGCAAGGCGATGGAAGCTGTTGGACGGCAAGCTGCCGGCAGGCTCAGAGGAGGACGGATGTGCCGGAAAAGCCTTGGCCAAGCCCAGCCAGAAAAGGCAACTCGCTACGGAGCGAGATTCCCGGCAGCTTGACAAAGCAGTGCCAACTTAACTGCAGGAGTCGACAGACATAGCCAACAAAGGTCGCTGCGTTTGCAGCCAGGACGTCGGAGACAGGCGGGTGAGAGGCCAGTGATCACCAGAAGCTTTTTTCACGCGATCACCTGCCGCAGGTATGAGGCGCCTTCGCGGTTCAGTGTCCGGGAGCAAGACAGGCTCATGCAGGACCGCTCCGCATCGGAAGACTGACAGCTTCCCCACTGCATCCCGTGGAGGATCTCCAAAAGCCAGGCCTCTCCGGCACTCAGCGACATGTGATGATTCGGCGACAGTAAGTACCGAGCCTTCGGCATCTGAACACGAGCTGAAAGCACAGATGCAAGCCCAGCCTTATGAGAATCCTGAGGTATACTCTTGTTTGAACAACATCTGGGCGTGGCACTGAAGCGTTTGCTTGAGCACACTGGGGTAGATGCGAGATCGAGTCAGAGCCGGTTGGTTGAGCAGCCCACCAAATGGCCCAACCTTGTTGATCTTCCCTGTTTCATGGTCACAGCATCCCCTGACATAGCATCGCGGAGGTGTATCATGTAACATAACTGATGACGGTGGTGCCCCCTTCGTGAGCTTGTGCCACGATTTCTGCAGGCCTACGCCGGCAGCGGGCGCTCAGCCAAATACACCTGCCGCCTCCAGCGACGAAGAGGACACCCGGAGCCACTGCGGGTATAGTGAAGAGTTTTCGTTCTCCTTCGCTCGCGTCGCTCGCATCAGTAGCCAGAGGACGCTTCTCCATGTCTGGCAGCATGCGCCGAAGGGCTGCCATCATCTTTTTGCCTCTGAAGGAGGCTCCGGGCAGCAATTTCGCTGCTTCTTGAAAGGGGCACACGAGGGCACGATGGCTGTCAGCTACATCTTCAGACTCTTCGGATACGTTTCCGCGATGTCTCGCTCATGTGTACATTGTACCTCTGTCCCACCAGCGGCAAGGCTGCGTCTTTCCAGCGGATCTCAAATAGCATGTGAAGTCCTCAGCATCTTCGCTTCCGGGATCCTGAGTCTTAAGGATGCGTCCCGGCAGCACTTTCTCGTTATCTGCTTGGGGCGGCTGCTGCAGCCGCATCACCACATCGGGGCCCGTCACTGCTCCTGGCGCAGCTCGGGAATGCTGCCGAAGCTGCCGCAGCGAGGGGGCCCAGATTTGGCACTTGACATTCGCTTGGAACCCACTGTCGCATGCAAGGGATTCTTTACAGTCCGGCCTCTAGTTGTTGAATCTCAATGAAGCCAGGCGTGGTTCTACAAGGCTTTATGTAGTATGCTTTGAACAGCTAAATGTGGTCGACTCGGTCAACGCTACAGGATTTCGGAATGGTGGATCCTCCAGAAGCCAGGGAACGTGAAGTGTTCAGGACGAAACTATCGATGCATCACCCGTCAGTACTTAGCACCAGTGCGGGGCTGCCATTAAGCGCATCTACCGTCTGTTCAAACACAGTGGCAAGAAAACAGGCAGGAGGTGCCTCCTGCAAGTCGGCTGCATCCAGCACAAGACACATGTTGTGTTCACGCGTACAATGGACAACTGAAGCTGTCGGGAGGCATCAAGACCAATGAACATGCAAAGCTGAAGTCGGATTTGCGCTTTGGAATTGAGCTGTGGATAGCAACGTCGTGTTTTTTGGAGATGCCGGTGCGTTGTTTGAGAGCTTTGGTGGTGGCTTTGGGCTCGTGTCTAGAAGCCATTATGGTTGTTTGGCTCGGGCTTCATCGACTTCTCAAAACTGTTGAATGTGCATGGTTCTTTCACCACGCAACCTGAAACAAGGTTTCTGCAACTAATTTCGGATGTGCAGGTGGCGTAAGTGTGTCGCAGTACGAGTATTCGTGCTGACACAGAAGTGGTCCCAGCAACGATTAACCCTGCGGCTGAAAACATAGACCAGTATGCAGGGCGCTGTATGGTCAATGTTCTTTGCGATGTTCTTGTCTTGGATGCGATTCTTGCTGAGATTGCTGGGCTTGCTCACGTCATGTACACTCAGCATAACATGCTTCGGAGTTTCAGTTTGCTTCCTACGGAATGGGTAAGGAAAGTACGCCGATGTTCTTTCCTGCATGGCCAGCGTTGAGCACGGCCTTTCTGGGATTCCTCCCAGGATTGCTGAATTATCTTGAAATTCCAAACATGTGGAAGAACGACTTCCCGACACAAAATTGTACTGTTTACGGGTCGGCACGTGTAAATTGTAAGCCTTCCGAGTCCTCTTGTGATACATCACGTCTACATGCACGGCCTTACACGCTCTATGCCTCGTGAGCCCTCCAGGGCCATGCCCAAGGCCATGGGTCATGCACTTCAGTTCACTGCATTTCACAAGACAATTCCTTTGTGATTTCTTCTGCCTTTTGCTTTGGGCCGTCGCAAGAGCTTATTGATGCAGGATGAAGCAATTATGGTGGTAAGCTTTGCTGCAGGTCATGCAGAGCTGCCCCTGGGCGTTGCTCGATGACTTTGCCTGCGACGGTTGTGTGGCACCTCCTCGTGGCTTCCGCCCAGCTGGGCTGCTGGCAAAGGTCGCTGGGAGTACCAAAGATTTCACCGCAAGAACATGCAAGAACTGCGAATCAATTGGTCTGATTTGCTCTTGCAACAGAGTGGAGACTAGTCCTTCTTCCGACAGTGTCTGGAACTGCCTGAGCCGATCTGTCTATGTGATGCTTTTGTAAACTGCCAGGGCCTCGAAGTGCAGAGAGGGATGTAGAGAGAGCGAGCGAGAGCTTTGCCTTCCAACGAACGAGGGGAATCTCAAGGGATCGGTGTGTTCTTGCCGAAGTGGGTGTGAGGTGATACGTTCTTCCTAGTCTTCGCTTCTGGGGTCCGGCACCTGTGCCATCAGACTGGAAGATGTCGGAAGAGTTGAGATGCTTCACTGACCTGAAATTCCCCAAGCCCTGTTGCTGCTGCGCCTCAAGATTTGCATACCCCTAGCTGCCCAAGCTGTCCTGGGATCCAGGGTGAGCAAGACCTATGAAAAGAGCGCTCTTGACCTGCGAAGCATGTTTCGCGGCGGAATGAAGGTTCGCGCAGCTCATGCAGCCTACGCTTCAGGCCTGCGAATGCCTACATTCAAAGAAACCTTTGAGTGAGATGATTTGCCTGTGAAGAGACAGGAGGGCCCAGTTTGTACTTTGTACTGCATGCGACACTGATGAGGGCAAGAAAAGGATCCGTACGCCTTCGTGAAAGATCATCGTGACTGAAGCTGCACAGTAGCTCACTGCCCCCATGAAGTGCATGTTCCGTTGCACCGACGGTGCGACGTGATGCAGAACATGTGAAACATATTCAGCCTGTAACTGTAAAGGGCAAAGGGCTGACCTCGATGATGCTGCATCTCACGAGTCACTAGTTTCCGTTTGAGGGTGAGACGTAAGCTTTGATTCAGGACGGAAGTTCCTGGCAAATCCGCTGTCCTGGGCTGGTGGAGAGTTGACTTGCAACCGAGATGCCGCAGATGCAAAGTATGAGGCGGGCATGCGCAGGTAGCCAACCAAAACCGAAGCTTGCAAAAGCCCTGCTGTGGTCCCATTCCTGCGAGGCTTCTGCTGAGGCCGTGCAAGAAGGTGTTGCCCAGCGCGTGGCATGTTTGCAGCTCTTCTCAAGCATGAGGCTTTGGCAATGCCCCTTGCAACCCCTAGAATAAGTATGCAAGCGAGCTGGACAGGAACAATGATGATTCACGGTCCAGTCAAGAGCAACTCATTTTAGTCGAGATGTCACCTCAGCATGCCACCCAGGTATTTGGCAGCGCTGCCGAATGACTACCCGCCCATCAGAAGCGACTTGGCCGAATCGACAGCAGTAGGTAACAAGCTGCAACATGAAGTAACGACAAGGAGGGACAAACTGAACTTAACTTCTTGCGCCCCACTTCCCACAGAACGCAAGCCAGTTCATGTGGACTTTCTCAAGAAGTTTAACGGATGCTACCTCACGGTCGTGTTTAACCTTCCCAACCTGAGCCCGTCGAAGTCCCAGGGATGGCTCACACCTTTGCGCGGCATTGCGATTGGGCCTCGTTTTTCGCCGCGCCCAGAAAGGACGAGGCAGTACCTTCTTGCAGCAAGTCGGTAGATGTGCCAAGACTCAGAAATCAGATGGTTCCGCTTGCATTGTTGATCCAGGAAAGACGCAGTTCCTGGCGCATCAGCGTTGGCCGGCGCGAGTTTGAAATCGTGACACCAGCTTCATTGGTTGAAGAGCCCAAATCCTGCGAATTATAATGGTAATTTCACCCCGACTGGTCCACGGGTTCTTGCGATTCTTCTCGCACAACGGGGTTTCTGGGCTCGTTTGTGCACATGAAACAGAAGACCTGATGCTCGGCCTTGGCATCCTTGCGCTGCTGAGGTGAACTTGGCACAGGCTTTTCCTCAAGCACAAGCAGACAAGAGACTCGGCGAGACACAAGACTCGAACGGGGCAAGGAAGTGTATCACTCCTCGCTCACCTCACCCCCGTTTGCAACAGTATCTGAGGAGCTGGATGAAAATGCAATGGGTCAACGAAGGCAGGGATAATCCGTAAACGCCCTGAAGGCACAGCGCAATCTTGGAACTCATGATTGCCACAGGTCGCTCTACCTGGGTCGCCCGGACCCTGTAACTACTTCCCGGTATGTTGTAGGGCATTATTCCCCTATACCCGTCCCCCAGCGATCTGTTTGAGTATTCAACCTTGGAATCCGGTGTTCTATGATGCTTCTAACAGAGGGATTCCGAGGAGCGGTTTCGCTGGCAGGCACAGTCACTTTAGGTGTTGTTATACTTTGTTGCTGAAACGTAGTGACGAAGCCTCTTAGTGTCGTTTCACTTTGCAGACGCGAACTCATATGCCTCGCCTGGATTGTCCGAGTGTGAGCGCCGAACGCCCTGAGACTGCCGAATTCCCCTTTTTCGACTTGGTTCTTTGACAGCCGACCGTTAGCCGTTAGAAGTCCAAAGTGCAAACATGACACCAATCTCCTGGAGACAGCGGCTATTGTCACGCATCGGTCTGTGTCATCGGAACCTGCAAAAAGATTTCTCGAGCCGTCGACAGGGATCCCAGTACCTGCAGCTCCCAGCTCTGATACCTTCCGCAAGCGACACTCGGCTGTTCCAGGGGGCGAGTAGTGACAGAGTGCCGCCTGACACATCATGAAACGCATGCTCTTGTCAAATTTGACTTCTGTGACCAGAGGCTTGTGGTCGGGCAGTTTGGCTGCAGAGAAAAGCTGGGTTACGCTTTGCCTCGCTGCAACCGCCAGCAGGTAGCAGGCGTTCGATCAACGGATTTCACTTGTTCGGTCCATTACCCCCTAGATGTGTGAGCAAAGCCATATAGCCACAGGATAATCAGTAGGAAGCAAAGGAATAGACAGGTGGTCCAGCAATTGGGGCACAAAACCAACCAAAAGATAAGTCAATGCAAAGAGGGAAAGCTCAAGTTTTCTTCGTGGGAAGAGGCTCCCAGAGCAAAGCTTTTTCCGGAAAGACTTCACAAGAAGCCAACAGAAGCTAGAGAAAAAATACAACAACGATTTTTGCCTTGTTGCTAAGCAACTTAAAGAACAGTTAATATCCTGCAGGAAAGCTTGCACTTTCGCTGAAAATGGCTGGCTCCCAAAGGAAAATGGTTCGTGTTGGCTACATTCGAGCTGAAGTGTAGCTTTTTCATCCATCGTTCTGAGTTTGCTGCCAGGAAACGCGAATTATCCTTCGCGGCCCGTAAGGACAGAAAAGTTACAATCACAAAGTTCGCAATATGCACAAAGCAAGGAAGACCAATAGGATTTTACGTAGGAACAGCTTGAGTTGGGAAGAAGCCATGGAAGTCTACATTTCTTGGGTTCGGAGACACCAAGTGTTTGTCGTTGGTTTTTGTGTGTAGGTTGGTTCGTATTGCTTGCTTTTGTGTGGAGCTCAGATGTCAGCAGTTGCGTGTGAAGTTCCTAAAACGGCCAAGGCAATACAATCCAGAAAAGCTTACTCATGGCCGTCTACACGGCTCGGCACAGTCTAGATCGCGCCGATCTTTTCTGCTTGTTCCTTGGCTGCATATCCTTTCCGCATCGTGGACATGCTCTTGCTAATTGCATGTTGATGCTAGACAGGCTGATGGCATGGTCCCTGCAATATTGGAAGTCAAATCAGAAAACGTGAGAATCTTGCATGTCATGCCCAGCTGCATTGCCTGGCGCCTCCCCAGGCTGGAGCTTGACAGCGAGACTTAGCTGCAATCGTTGTCTTTTTGTCTGCGCAAAAAGCCCACCACCCAACTTACAACATCAAATGTAGGGCGCCTCATTGGTTTTCAAAAAAATATGAGGATTCACATTTTTGCACGTCTCGCTGGTTTTACAGTGTAAGACCTGCGAAAATGTGAGTCCTAACAGTGTGCCACAGAAAGGATGAGGACTCAGTGCTTGCAAGGACGAACTATTGCAGAGCAAGGTAGAAGTGAACCGTTCCAGGGACTCGAGCCGGGGCGGATTCAAGCCATCTCAGGCATTTGTAGCTGAGAACCTTCGGGCCTTCGCGCGAGCAAACACGCTGCTCACCCAGGAACTTGGTTGCGACAGTGGTTCGTGTTCCTGGATTACAATTCCCGAGGTTTAAGTTTAAGGGGTGTCATTCGTTGAGAAAGATGGTCGCCAAAAAGAGAAACTGTGAGCTTCAGAGGATCCCCACTACGTGGCGTCATTGCATTTGGGCCAGCTTGGCAGCACTTGTCTCCAGCCTCCGCTGCTCCGCACGATGCCACTCAAATCAGTGCTCAGCACCAGCGAGTTTTGTGGATGCACACTTACTCGTCACGGCTTTGGCATCTATGAACCACTATCTTTGATATCCTCCGGTGTGACCGAGGCATGAAGCTGCAGATCGGGATTTTCCCAAACACTGCTGGCGGGGTGTGCATGACGAGAGAAGCTTTGCGGCGACTCTCACAGCATCTGGAGCTGCAGCTCAGACTGCAATACTGCGGTGTTCTGCGAGTGCACCGTGTGCTATGTATCTCATACCTTCGAAATCCAGCCTACGAGTGGAACGCATTGACTGGCATGTTGCAGAGGTTGGAGAAGGATGCCCTCGCATACCCTCATCCCAAGCGAGCATCCGGACTCAACTTGGCGCAATGAGATGACATGCGACGGATGCATACACGAGCTGATGGAGGCGTCACTTGAACTGCAGGTTGGCTTCTGGGTGCCAACTGTGCTCGACCCACAGCTCGCACCCCGGGTGAACGGCTGCCACCTGTCCAAAGCCAAGACTTGAAATCATCCAGAAAACAGGAACTGTATGCTACGACAAAGTTGTGGTGTGACTCAGTTTTAGATCCGAACATTTTTGCAGGTTCGAAGGCGTTGTACAAAAACAGTAGAGATTAGCGGCAGGCATTGGGCCTTCTGAGCTTGGCTCAGGTGGCTTCGTTGCTGGTCATTGGCACCTCGCCGAGAAAAAAAGCGGAAGCTAGCAAAGTGATCAGCAGAGGTAAGAACCGGAAGACGGTACAGCATCCCTTGCAAGCTATCCAGACTGTTCCAAGGTGGGACATTATGCTTGGGAGGTGCTTCGTCGCCTCCAACGTCACGGCGCATCCTGCAGTCGAGGTCTGGCGGGCGACGTCTGCCCTGATGTTTTGATACGATGGAATCACGTTTGCCACAAGATCGCTACCAAACTCAGCCGTTGACAAAAAGCGGCCTGAAGGATGAGCTTGGGCGCAACTACTTTACCTCCGAGACGCTGCCATGTGGTGAGCCGAGTGAGCGAAGCATGACGTGCGATGGTCCGCTGTCAGAAGCCGTGAAAGTTGCACTCTGCGATGTCGGTCAAGCTAGGCAAGTCATAGCCTCAGTCGTAGGACTAGTAGGAAGAGCGAACGAACAGAAGCACGCCTACAGGAGCATCAGCATCGAATCCATTCCAGGTAGAGAGAGATAACTCCTGTGTTACATGGTAACAGAACAAGCAGAACAACCCTCGTAGCCTATGTGTCCTAGTCAAAAAGGTAGGGCTAAGTAGGGGCAGTGGTGGTGGCGGTCGAAGCAGCCGTAGCAGCAGCAGACTCGCAGTACAAGTGGTAGTCGTCGTCGTGGCGGTGTAGTCGCAGTACTAATTTGCAGTCGTGCGAGTAGCAGTAATAGTAGTAGCGGCAACAGTTGTAGTAGCAGTAGCAGCATGTAGAACCAAAAGACGTCGCCATGGTGAGCGGACGGGTCGCAGTAGCAGCCACATGCGTAGTGACATGGTGGTCCAAGTGCTTGAGATGTGTCCGGCATGCAGGGACGGTGTTCGTGCTAGGCATGCACCGAGAGAGCTCCAGACAAATCCAGAAGCTGCTCTGAAGGGGACTTACAAAGAGTGATATCACAAACGGTCTTCCCGTCTTGAAACCTCCAAGTCGTCGTCGTTCCACCCAAGCCACAAGGATGCTATCATGTCAGATGCCGGACAGCATTTTTTTCAAAATAGGACATCCTGACAATTCCGCACTGAGGCCAGGAGCACCTCGCCAAACGCAGTTTGCCTCCTTTGCCAGGGCCCAGCCTGGCCCCGGACAGCTTGGAGCGTCTGGACTAAAGGGAGCCGGAGCATGCGCTGTAGCGTGTGGTTTACCTAGGGTGCTTCCTTCCCCCTGCGCTTCGGCTGGTGTTTGCTTAGCACTTCGCTCTGGCTCATGTCTGGTCACAGTGGTGTTGCCCTCCATGTGACCTCTTGCAACATTCAAGCTCCCACAGACCCAGGAACGCAGCACGTGCTCTCTGCGAACTCTACGGCTTTGCTCCCGAGATCCACCGTTGGGTGCCGTGCCAGCCTTCGGAGGCGTCGGGGGTGCGGGTGACCACCCTTCGAAGTTTTGCTGGCACCCGCACAGGTTACTCCGGTGGCGGACTATTGGCTTTCGCCGTTTGCGATAGGCAAGCATGCATGGCCTTACAAGCTGAGCCTGAGCGAGCTCGTGCGCCCGTGCTGGGAGGCTATCATGGTTACAAGAATCTTACTGACCTGATGCATGCATACCGCTTCTGGGCTGCAAACCACTGAAGCCATGCTGCGCTAGTCGTGCTCGACTTGCTCATGCTGCCTTCTATCATATTCTGTCAATTCTGTCCACCTTCCGTGACGCTTTCGGACACGTGATTAAAGAGCTCACCACTAAGGCATACTCTACATGTCGGCTGGATGCGACTGGGCTCTGCCGTTCCGGCCAAAGGCCCGCAATGATGCAAGGGTCAGACCGTCACACCGAGTGTCAAAGCGAATCATTGAGTTTTACCGTGCAAGGAGAGGTGCTCGTATGGAAACTGTGCATCCTGGCAAGGTGCTGCAGAACAGGAGAGCTGCAAATGAGCAAAATGGACCGCGTGACTTTCCGACGTGCTTGAAGCCACTCCCGCCAATTCAAGGCAAACCCTGACCCGAGAGTGCCCACGTATTTATGAACGAGTCTCGCCGTGGTTTTAAGTGAAGAGAGCGAGACTGGATTCAACAACGAACGCAGACGCTTCACGTGTCCAAGAGCATTGTGCACCCGGTTCGCGCAGCTGCGTTTCCGTTTCCCAAGCGTTGGGTTTGGACCTTGGCTGTGGGGCGGCAGGCGGGAAGTTATGTGATGCTAAGGCATATTTTTACAACTTGGCACGTGTTGAAGCGCCGTTGGGCGTCCAGGCGCATGCCACGGCCCGGGCGAGCCCGGGCAGCGCCGTCTACTTTCGAGGACCGACTGAGAGGCAAAATAGCCACTGCAAGCCCCGCTTGTTGCGCAAGGATCCGCTCGAGGACTTCTTCGTGCCAACTGCAAGCTCCAGAGGCCTTGGAAAATTGCTTTGACAGTCGTACTGGTAGAATACGTTCCGAGGCTTGGCTTAGACATGTGGCACCATGTTGAGGAAAGTTCGTTCAACTGAGCACTTGGAGCTTTTTGTGCTTGGTATGCTCGGCTGGCAGGGGCAGTGGCAGCCGCTGACCCGTTCGAGCCGCGAGCATCAACTTTGGCCGAAGACCCACCCAAGACCACGGTTACAGGCACGAGCCGCATGTTCGGAAGAGCGATTGCCTAGTCCGTTCGTAGCTGGTGCCGTCCATGGTTCGAGCACTGCTTCTGCAGTCCGACTCAAGGCCAGCCGGCGGACAATTTCAGCTTCGAGGCACCATGCGGCGATGAGCACGAGTACCCAGCAAATAACCGCTTGCCACACGCACGCAGCGCAGCACACAGACAGCCATCCCTGAATCCTCGTGGACGTTACATCTGAGGTCAGAGCGCGCTGAGCGCACCATTGCCGTCACACCACCTCCTGGCCGACCACCGGAGGCTGCACGCAAATGAGGCAGCCTTAAGCACAACCTGTACAGACCTGCTATTTGCAACAGGATCGTGGTCCTCGAGTGCGGCGAACCGTACCTGGAGAGGACTCCAGCAGGCAGTCTGACAACGGCATTCGTGGAGCTGGAACTTGAACTTTGCACAAACACGATGTTAGGAAAATGTTGCGCAGAGCGGGCCAACGCTGTCCAATGCTCGTAGACAGCGTGTAGCTGGTAATTAGATGCCTCCCGCAGGCATACACCGGTTGAGGACCAATCAAACGAGGCCGTGATCGGCTGCTTCCAGCAGTGGAGCAGTCACGGTCTTGTACTGCTGCAGGCCTGAAAACAGCTGCAACTCGCATGCATTGCGTACAGGTGCAACCTTTCTCCAACGAGGAGCCACAGGCCACCTGCAGCGCTTTGGCACACAAATCTTGTGTAGGTGAACCTGTCACCAAGAGGTGCTTTTGTCGGCGGAAGCTTCGCCTCAGCCCTTGAGATCATGCCTGAAAGGCCAGTTCCAAGCTTTTCGTTTGGTGGTTTACGTTCTTTTGGTAAATATCATTGTACCGAACTGTACCTGTGCAAAGCTGTTCTAGGCGCTACCGCTGCATGCATTGCCGTCCGTGCTTCCCACGGCCTGGCCGGTCGCACACGTTGCTGCAGGCTCTGCCTCACCGTCTGGTCTGCGGGCGGAGGCGTCCGAACGTAAGGAGCCAGAGCAACTTGCACAGGTCTGGACAGTTTTCGAGGTTCCGGGGAGCACAGTGTGCAAATTTAATGTATCTTGATCAGTCGTCGGTTTCGCAGATGAACAGGAAGCTACACCACCCAACAGCAGGGGATCTACGAAGGCCTGGTCATCAAAGAAGTGATGCAGCCGCAAGCATCGCCGAAGTCCTGCGACTGGTTCCTTTTCAGCCTACCTTATTCTGCTCGGATCAAGCGATGCTAGGAGCGGATGCAACACATACGGGGAAAAACTTAGCCAAGATTGACATTGCCGACATCCTCAGCAACAGCAAGGAGCTAGCTGCCACTGGCCTCCTAACAGTCACCCGACCTCGCCGATCTCAGCAGATTTCGCCAGCGTCAGCGCCATGGATCTTCCGCGCGTGGCTCCTGAAGCAGGGTGAACTTCTCCGCCCTTCCCCTGCATGTGAAATGTCCGATCCTCCGGATGACAGCGGCTGGCCAGAGTGGCTGACTTGGGAAATGAACATCTCCAGCAGATCTGCACCTGGGCGAGGATACATAATTCACGTTATAGGCGTTCCAGAGGATGTCGCAGCCACATCGCCTTTGTTGCAGCAGTCGGTCTGCCAAGAGTACGAGTGGGCTTGCGAGAACCGAGGCCTTGTGGCTTCTTGGCGGAGTCCTGATCTTATGGATAAGCTCCGTTCTGACATATGGTTGCTGCACGTCTGTTCAGACCGGGAGTTTCTATGAACCCATCACGATCAGCAGCATTGCTTGGAATCGGAAGAAGGAGTCCGTCCGCTTGTGTGAGATTATGCATGCCAGGCCATGATCGCGTGATTCTCTATGTTGCGGTTATGCGCTGGTTTTTCAGCCTTGTTTTGGAGAAGAGTCCAGGCACAAGATCTGATGAGCTTGCAGCACAGCACATAGCATCGCAAAGCAGCTCGTCACGTGCGCAGTGTTTAGCTGCAGCCACTGGCAGGAGTCCATCAATCGGAAGCATCAAACCAATGGAACAAGACCCCGCCCAAGCTCGCAAGAGAAAAACACGGATAACAGTGGATTGTGCACAGAGCCAAGCAACAAGAGGTAATTACGGCTGTCGCGGGCGGGAGTGCGTTGACTATAACTGCGTCAGGAGCGGAGCAAGCTCGAGCACGAGCCTAACCGAACTTCACTTTCATTTACTTGGGTCGAAACGGCTCCAAGTTCTAATTCAAAGACAAGAGTCTACCAGCGACAGGACTGGAGAATGCTCGTGAATTATGCGATGCTTTTGCCACTCCACTTTCTGCGGTCCATGGAGACGGCTTCTGGGGACAAGAACGTTTACTCCTCCACTGAGAAGGCGTTCCTTGCAACGCAGCGCAAGGTTTTTAATGATGCCGTCATTAACTTCCTGACTGTGCGTCGCAGCATGATGTTCGTTTCGGTAGTGTTCTGCGTGCTGGCCTTCTTCATCGAAGCCGCCGATGTTCCTGCTGCCATGACGACAAGAAAGCAATGGATCCACAAAAGCCGACTCTGGGACAAAAAGCAATTTGTTTGTATTCATCATGTTTTGGCTAGGCACCCTACATTTGCACTCAAGGGATCGAAATTGACGGCAACGTGGTTCGCTTCCCTCAGTTTGTGCAGATGACAAACCAGACGTGGAACACCAAAGACCCGGAGGCATGGTTTGCTTATAGCAAGCACCTGTACACCGGAATGTTTCCAGGCTTTCGTCAGCCTCGTTCGTTTCTGCCCTCAAGCAAACGGGTATGCGACACATTGAGATTCCAAGGTTTGCCAAGATCATCAGCCAAACGGCAATGATGGACATACTGCAGGCGGTGTTGGAAGTTGCATGTCAAGGAACAAGCCTCTCGGAGAATTCAATGAGTTCATTGTTGATGCCCGCCTCGAGCACAACAAGTCATGAAAGGGTGCCTCATGCACCCGAATGTTTCATCTAGTAGACTTGCTTTCCGAACAGTCCCGTGATACACGCAGTGCAAGGCTGCTACCTGCTCTGGTGGTCGCTGAGAAAGTGGTGCGCTAGCCAGCACAGAGTTTAAGGTCAGGGCTCAAGGTTTGCAGGACGAGGCACCTCACCAGAAGTTCAACCCTGGCGAGCATTCCGCATAACACGTACGTCGGGGAGCAAGATCTCCATAAACGGAGCAACTCTGCACTTCGCCTGGCCTTCCCCTCGTCTCGTGTCACCGGCTCCCAGGTCTCATTTCAATCGATCACACCGAGGGGTGCTTACCGGCTGGGCGTTCAGCCTGGTTGCGCCCTTCTTGGTTTCTGGGACCGATTTGGAAGCTTTTGGTTCTGGATGGTTCTACTCTGCATAAGCATTCCTTCGCTCATGTGTAGGGACTATTACAGATGGGCGAAAACTCCCTAAGATCACTTCCACATGTTGCAAGTGCTAGTGTGGTGAAGTAGTGGGAGATGCATAACAAGCACATGGTACCACCAAGCTCCAGGCAACTGTGATTCCTACACGCCTGTTTGTAGACTGGACAGTCTTGGACCCTGTGGTGCATACCTTTGCCTCCGAGCTGTCGCAGCACATGGGATACTCGGCAGCAACGGGATTTACAGAGGCACTTAGGCTAGTTGCCGCTAAGCGCCGAAATTCACGCACAGCTTTTGCTAGAACAGCTCGGCTGCAGCAAAGGAAACCACAGCGAAGACTTTGCATCCACCGTAAATCAGGCTTGTTTGCAGCTCATACATATGGAAGCGCAAGGGACCGTGGAGAACGCAGAGAGCTTCGCAATGAAGACTTGCTCCACACTGAAGATGACCCCCAATAAGCACTTGAAGTGCTGCTCCTTCATCAAGCTCGTGGACTTCGACTTCAGGCAGGCAAGCGGCAAGAGAGAACCAACCTTCAGAGTGTGACAAACATTTTTGTCGTCTGCGAGGCCGATCCATTCAACCTGTGACAAAGTTGAGGATTACTTGAAGCAGCCAGATCGGTTCCACAAGCAGGCGATCGAGCAGAGCACCGAATTGTGCCGGACAACGGTGATGCCGAACCTTAAAGGCACCATTGAGCTCGGCTTCGACACCAGGTTTGCACAGCACGGGCGCAGTTAGTTGGTTTCACGTGCATACTCTATCCTATAAGGCTTCAATATCCGACCCGGCTGCCAAGGAGAATGCACTCCAAGTGGCAGCTTCCGCTGGGCCTGTTGCTCAAAGGATGAAGCAAAGCGTGTCCATGGGCATGGGCTTTGTGAACGGGCCCCTCGGCTGCGCCGTGAGGTTAGGAAATTCGCATGACAAGAGGCTTGCAGCCCCAGCCCCAGCAGGCATGCGGCATGCTACCGCATGCCATGGCATGCTCCAAATGTAGTGTCACCATGGCTTGCGAGGCTTCGTGGCTTCAACACCATCATGCCTGCTGCACTAGCGCTTGCACCTGCACTCTTGCGAGGAGCGCTCAAGGCCGGCAGCCGATCCTGCAAAGTTAGGCAGACGACGACAGAGAGAGCCACTCTCCCTCTCCGCTTAACCCTGAAGGTGAAGGTGACTGCACCTCAGTCCACAATTCCAGGTTCCGTGGCAATGTGCTTCAAGGGATTGGCACGATGTGGTGTTGTAATTGCTCGTCACCCAAGCGGCGGTTTAGAACAGGCACTTCTTGATGTTTCTATACAAAGCTGCAGATCACCCAGGAATGTTCGTGGTCGTTTTACCACTACTGTACTGTCCGATGACATGGGGGATGTACCACATCTTCTTCCAGCTGCTTGGGGATTTCTGGATGCTATTGGGCCTGCTCGTCATGGCATTTGGACCAATGGTGTGCCCCGGCTCGACAGAATTGCCCTCCCCATGAGTTTGATTTGGATCCTGGGCATCAGGCGTAATGTCTGGTGGGGGTCAGAAAGCTAGAATAGGATTAGCACCGACAGTTAGAGTCAAATCCTTGCGAATTTGATTGTGCGCAAGGTACCTGGCTCTTGGGAGCTACTACAGCATTACGCGACCCCTCACGGACAAGGCTGTTGCACAGGTCATGGCAGCTTGGCAAGAAGTCATCGTGCTCAGATCGCCCTGCCGCAGTGAGTGCACACATTGCAAGGTCAGCATGAACCGGGCGTCAACCATCCTCGCGATGATCGGGTATGTGTTCATCTGCACCTTCGCATGGAAGCGCTACAAGCTAACGATAGGTGACGAGGAATCCGAGGATGATGCAAGTGTGGAACGGGATGCGTACAAATACATTGCAGAACAGGTTTCCGTGCTTCAACCGAGCTTTTGGATCAAACTTGCCGGGGTGGCTATGGCCAAGTATTTTTTCACGACGTTGGCAGGAGTCGACTGGATGATGGTAGAGATCGGGAAGCAGCGACGGTATGAGATCCTGATGGAGATCTCTCAAAAAATCAATTCCTTGGAGACGAGTGGAACTGCTGTGCGCTACCCACAGGGTTTGAAGACTGAAGTGGAAAGGAAGGAAAACTTGCAGGCTGCTGAGGAACGGTTGCTTCGATTAGATTGTGTGTTCTACATTCTGTATGACGAAGTGCCAGTACATGTGGTGGAGGAAGAGGACATAAATCCCCAAATTCCGTCTATGCGCAGACGCACGACAGTTCTCGCTCCTGCAGTGAGTCGGATATTTGAAGAAGTCGAAATGCAGGATGTGGGGCAAAACAACAAGAACGATGAGGCCACATCTGGAGGAGGAGTGCCCACACCGCTTCCATCCCAGATCGAGTTCTCGGAAAGCGTGCCGCGAATGCCCCAGCCACAAGATGTGGAAGATGCTCGTGGCGAGCCGCCGCGGCCAAGCACCCTGGACAATGCCTGGTCTTTTTTCTTCGGCTTGCGCGTTCCGAATCAGTCACGCCCTCAAGCACGGAGTCTAGCCGCACCACGACCAGCACAGGGGTGGCCACCGCCGCCAACCTCCACCGTCCCCGGCTCCCAAAGTTGGAGACCACAGACGCCATTAGTTTCGGACTGGGCACAGGGCCAGTACCATCCGACACCACATTTCGCAACGAACAGCGTTTTGCCAGCTCAGTGGCAGGCCTCGCTCGGCCCTACAACTCCGGCTTGGCCACGCCACACAGTGGCACCAGGGCAGCACATGCGCCCACAGTTCTAAACTGTGGCAGCGCACTGTTGCTGGCTTGCCATTGCTGCGAAATCTTGATGTCGAAGACATGAAAGCTTGAGCCGGGCTCGGTTTGGATTCAGGCTCAAGGGGATCCCTGCCTGGAGCCCAAAGCATACTTGCAGAACTGTGGTTTTGGGCTTTTTTACTTGAGCTTGACAGGGTCTGAGCCTGCGTTGTGTGGCAATCGATACATAGACTGGATGCACTGCAAGGGTAGAGTGTTGGACCGGGAAACCTCACAGCCACATCAGCACTTCCCTCTGTTCTGTCACGTTGTCATTCTTTGAGAAGTTGACGCAGGAGGTGCAACCCAAAAGGCCGCTTGGTGCTAATTGAACTGCGAAAGACAAATGCTGCAGGGACAGTCGATTCAGAACTTGATGTCATGCTTTGGATTGTTACAGATGTTGTGCTGCTGATGAAACCAAGGTCATGTTTGAAGCAGGCACGGCGCTTACACTAAACTTCCCTGAACATGTCGGACAGAGTTGCTAGTCGTTCCAACTACAAACCCGACACCAACTCAGAGAGTGCTGCAATGTGGAATACAAATTGTTGTGCTCAGATCCGTGCAAGAATTGATCGCATCTCTGCCTGGCAGTCGCCTTCGCCGACAGCAAGTCCTGCGCCTGGCCCTGCGCCTCATGAGGCCGATCGCTGAAGCACAACATTGCATGCCATGCAGCGGAGCTCTTGATCGTCATGGGTCCTGCTGTCAGCCGCCATTCCATCGCAGGCAAAGGAGACCACGCCACCGTGGCTAGAAAGCTCTTCGCAACAGCCGGCCCAGAACTTACCAAAGCTTCCCCTTTTGTCGCGAGGCTCGCAATTCGTCCCCTCTTGGACAGCAAACAGTCTTGAGATGTGTTGAGGCCCAAGTGCCAGCTGAGCCCAGCCAGACACCCCACTACCCCCTCCAGGCTGGTTGCAGTCAATCTTGTGGCCGTAAACTTCCGGAATCGCTCCTGTGTCAAGTTCTTGGATGGTACAGTGATGGCACGACTTCAGGAAGATCCGGAGCGGCCGGGACGAAGTGAGGCAGAGCAGGCAGAGAGTGCAAGCGAAGAGATAGTGACGTGGAGGCATGGCTATGGCTGGCACACGCTTCTTTAGACTCTGGCAGGCGGAAACAGCAGCCACCGAGCCAGCCACAGGGCTGGCAACAACAGAGGCAAGATGAGAGATGTATTGCTACTGCGCTTTCGGGGGTGTGGTGCGGTGTTCAGGTCTGGGGTGACTACACATCCCCTAACAGTAACACTGAACATTTTGCGGCAGCAGCAGCAGCGGCAGCAACATGTGACAGCGTGCAGGGCAGGAAGAACCTGTTGGATCGCATCACAAAGGCAGAATGGACAGGAGTGGCTAATTTCGGAGTGTGGAGGCACTGTGGTTCTGGTTCCTGCAGCTTTTTCTTGTCTATTGGACCTGCTGGCGCTGCTTCTCGCATGTACCCGCTATGCGATCTATGATAGATCTACGCGTTGCACTTCGCAATCATGAGTACGGAGGCTGCAGCGGACGAGCTGCCAACCACATACGTGGAGGCGACCAATCTCGCAAAGCAAAGCCCTCTGGCTGACATGCCACACAGCTGCCGCATCCAACACTAGACCGGGTGATTTCTGCCCCTATGAAGTGCCTGACAGGACGACAATCAAATAGCGCCCTTTGAAGAAGAGCCCCTTGAGAGTGAGGAGGCAGGGACCGTGAGACAAGTTATGTGTTTGCTGCTTGATGGCCTATGCTTTGACAGCTGGTACTGCAGTTTTCAACCCGAAGCTTCGGTCGCAACATAATGTTCAAACAGGGGACTACAGAAGTTGAGCCAGCAAGTCAACACCACGAACCCTCAGCAACTGCCCATGGATTCCACAGCACACTGGCGCATGACGCCCCGTACACGCCCCGCAGCAAGTGCACGCAAAGTGTTTGCCGGAGACGTGCCGAAGTACACATGTTGGTGTTCACACACTTGAGCCGCAAATGAGTCACACAGTCATTGCTGCGCTTGCTTGTCATTCCTGCACGTCATATGCAGGAAGTGCAGCCCAACGAGCCCCTGGGTTCAATTGGTGTATCTGGAAGACACACGCGAGTCGAGATGCAAAGGCCTTTAGCACAGGGGTGTCAGGCAAGACTTAGCCTTATGCTGCATTTCTTTGAACTGTGCTATTGAGACCGAGGTTCACCTCGAAGCCAGTCGAGGCTACTGACTTCCAGAGTAGCAGAGTCGCGTTGTCTGTACTGGAACCGAACACTGCCACGAACCCGTTTAATGCCACAAGTCCATTGCAGCTTTGGATGCTGAGTAAGGCTAGTACACATGCAAGAATTGATCGCATCTCTGCCTGGCAGTCGCCTTCGCCGACAGCAAGTCCTGCGCCTGGCCCTGCGCCTCATGAGGCCGATCGCTGAAGCACAACATTGCATGCCATGCAGCGGAGCTCTTGATCGTCATGGGTCCTGCTGTCAGCCGCCATTCCATCGCAGGCAAAGGAGACCACGCCGTCGTGGCTAGAAAGCTCTTCGCAACAGCCGGCCCAGAACTTACCAAAACTTGCCCCTTTTGTCGCGAGGCTCGCAGTTCGTTCCCCTCTTGGACAGCAAACAGTCTTGAGATGTGTTGAGGCCCACGTGCCAGCTGAGCCCAGCCAGACACCCCACTACCCCCTCCAGGCTGGTTGCAGTCAATCTTGTGGCCGTAAACTTCCGGAATCGCTCCTGTGTCAAGTTCTTGGATGGTACAGTGATGGCACGACTTCAGGAAGATCCGGAGCGGCCGGGACGAAGTGAGGCAGAGCAGGCAGAGAGTGCAAGCGAAGAGATAGTGACGTGGAGGCATGGCTATGGCTGGCACACGCTTCTTTAGACTCTGGCAGGCGGAAATAGCAGCCACCGAGCCAGCCACAGGGCTGGCAACAACAGAGGCAGATGTATTGCTACTGCGCTTTCGGGGGTGTGGTGCGGTGTTCAGCTCTGGGGTGACTACACATCCCCCTAACAGTAACACTGAACATTTTGCGGCAGCAGCAGCAGCGGCAGCAACATGTGACAGCGTGCAGGGCAGGAAGAACCTGTTGGATCGCATCACAAAGGCAGAATGGACAGGAGTGGCTAATTTCGGAGTGTGGAGGCACTGTGGTTCTGGTTCCTGCAGCTTTTTCTTGTCTATTGGACCTGCTGGCGCTGCTTCTCGCATGTACCCGCTATGCGATCTATGATAGATCTATGCGTTGCACTGCGCAATCATGAGTACGGAGGCTGCAGCGGACGAGCTGCCAACCACATACGTGGAGGCGACCAATCTCGCAAAGCAAAGCCCTCTGGCTGACATGCCACACAGCTGCCGCATCCAACACTAGACCGGGTGATTTCTGCCCCTATGAAGTGCCTGACAGGACGACAATCAAATAGCGCCCTTTGAAGAAGAGCCCCTTGAGAGTGAGGAGGCAGGGACCGTGAGACAAGTTATGTGTTTGCTGCTTGATGGCCTATGCTTTGACAGCTGGTACTGCAGTTTTCAACCCGAAGCTTCGGTCGCAACATAATGTTCAAACAGGGGACTACACTGGCGCATGACGCCCCGTACACGCCCCGCAGCAAGTGCACGCAAAGTGTTTGCCGGAGACGTGCCGAAGTACACATGTTGGTGTTCACACACTTGAGCCGCAAATGAGTCACACAGTCATTGCTGCGCTTGCTTGTCATTCCTGCACGTCATATGCAGGAAGTGCAGCCCAACGAGCCCCTGGGTTCAATTGGTGTATCTGGAAGACACACGCGAGTCGAGATGCAAAGGCCTTTAGCACAGGGGTGTCAGGCAAGACTTAGCCTTATGCTGCATTTCTTTGAACTGTGCTATTGAGACCGAGGTTCACCTCGAAGCCAGTCGAGGCTACTGACTTCCAGAGTAGCAGAGTCGCGTTGTCTGTACTGGAACCGAACACTGCCACGAACCCGTTTAATGCCACAAGTCCAATGCAGCTTTGGATGCTGAGTAAGGCTAGTACACATGCAAGAATTGATCGCATCTCTGCCTGGCAGTCGCCTTCGCCGACAGCAAGTCCTGCGCCTGGCCCTGCGCCTCACGAGGCCGATCGCTGAAGCACAACATTGCATGCCATGCAGCGGAGCTCTTGATCGTCATGGGTCCTGCTGTCAGCCGCCATTCCATCGCAGGCAAAGGAGACCACGCCGTCGTGGCTGGAAAGCTCTTCGCAACAGCCGGCCCAGAACTTACCAAAACTTGCCCCTTTTGTCGCGAGGCTCGCAATTCGTCCCCCTCTTGGACAGCAAACAGTCTTGAGATGTGTTGAGGCCCAAGTGCCAGCTGAGCCCAGCCAGACACCCCACTACCCCCTCCAGGCTGGTTGCAGTCAATCTTGTGGCCGTAAACTTCCGGAATCGCTCCTGTGTCAAGTTCTTGGATGGTACAGTGATGGCACGACTTCAGGAAGATCCGGAGCGGCCGGGACGAAGTGAGGCAGAGCAGGCAGAGAGTGCAAGCGAAGAGATAGTGACGTGGAGGCATGGCTATGGCTGGCGCACGCTTCTTTAGACTCTGGCAGGCGGAAACAGCAGCCACCGAGCCAGCCACAGGGCTGGCAACAACAGAGGCAAGATGAGAGATGTATTGCTACTGCGCTTTCGGGACTGTACTGCACACGAGCGTGACGGCCCCGATGACGGTAGCTACATGCTGTGGGGCACTTGCCCGAACCAGAGTTGCAGTCTTCGGGTCTGTGTTTGCAGAGTTCGCCTGCTTACAGACGTCGGCATTCGCAAGCCGCCGCTAGCCGCTAGCTGCTGGACACAGCATCACATCCACATGGCGAAGAAGTCTCAGCGGTGGGGCGAAAGTTCCATTTGCTCTTTGGAGGCCCGGAGAGAGGCCGAGGCTCCAAGACAACCGGCCGAGGAGGCTTGGGAAGCTCTGGAAGTTCAAGTTCGTCGAGATTTCGGTTTGTGGAATCCTGCTATGGCGTTGTAGCTGCGGTGATATGGTACGCGAGACTTCTAGGAGGCCTCAAGAGTCGTTGACCACAGTGCCCATGGCCTCTAACGATTTTTGTGGAGGATCCGAACAAGTCCATGTGTGGCCGGCAGAGCTATCAGAAAAAACCCTCGAGCCAGGAAACAGGCCCCCAAAACCTGCTAGGTTCCTTTCTTCTTCATGGAGCAAGGGGCTAACCATGACAACATCAACCCCGACCTCATGTGTTCCGCAGAGCATCCATGGGTGAAAACCATGATAACCTCCACCTAGATCTCATCCGTTCCCCGGAGCATCCATGGGCAAAAACCGCGATAACGTCCACCCAGACCTCACCCGTTCCCCAGTGCACCCAGGGGTCAACCATGATATCATCCACCCAGACCTCATCCGTTCCCCAGTGCAACTATGGGGCAACTGCGACGGAAGACCTCATCCGTTCCCTGGAGCATCCATGGGCCAACCGTGGTACGTCCGCGCATACCCCATTGAATCTATGTGAACTTCCGCCCAGACCTTATCTGCTCAAAAGCCAGCAGCATACATTGCTGGAACTCAGAACATCGATCGGAGGTGGCAGGCGGCACGAGACTTCCTTCCCTCGAGTCTCTATGCGAAGCATGGACAAGAACTCCATTCTCATTTGTCAGATACATCTTTGCGTTCGTGTGGAGGTACCACCTGCCGCTCACGTCATTGACTCTGGCTGACACTTCCTAGTTCGTTCTGCTGTTATGCCTTGTGGATTTTTGGCACAAATATCATTGTATGTGCGCAAAGCCCCGGTTTTCGTGGATGTTTAGAGACTGCCCTATGGTTTCCTAATCCTCCCCGTTGTCAGCCTAGCCACATACCTCCAAAGACGATGTGCCCAAAAACCAACCGGGTGCATTTAGTCTCCAGGTTTTTGTGTGCTTGTGACTTCGAGACACAGACGGAGGGGTTGGTGTGCAGATCATCTTAAGAATCCGGAGCGCGGAGCTGAGAGACAGTTGAAGTGGGCTTGAAGGGGTCAGCTTTCATGCTTGCTTGGGTTCTCAAGCGTAAAGTGCAAAGTGCATGTCATGCATTTCGTTGCCATCAGATTCGACCACGTGGCAGGACGATGCCCAGACCAAAGATGATTTGGGACGGAATCTTCGGCTCGCATAACATAGGCACCTGCAACTTGACAACCGAGCTCAGTCTTTCAAAGCCGAAGGGCTCTACGCGCACGTGACTCGGGGCGGATGTTGCAGACCGTCAGGGCATCACGGATACATAATGCCTATCTTGTGTTGTGGCTTTCTCATCTCAGAGCACGACTTTCTGAGATGTAGTTGGGCGGGGTCTTTTACCCCAGCCTGAGCAGCATGTTCCCCAAAACTCACTGACCCCATCGCTATGCAAAGAATAGCTGATCCTTGGCTTCCTGGCCAGCTCTCAGGAATCTTGAGCCCGTGCCCCTGAAGCACGATGATGGTCAGTCAGTGGAGCGCGCCACTGTCGCCACTGGGCTTGCATTTTCCCAAGACACGCATCCCGCACCATCATGTAGCATTCTCTAGGCACGTTGGAATACATGGCATTTCTCTCAAGCCCTACACAGAAAGACCAGTACATGCAGGAAGCAATTGAACCTGATCGCTTGTCGCAGGCGGCTGCAGAAGAGCTGCCAGCCACGTCCATGGAGGCGCCTCAGCTACTGTAGCAAAACCAAAGCTGCTACATCGTCGCAGCAGGAAACTGCCCGACTGTGATGCGCACTGCCTACCCGAAAGGACGACAGTCGAGTCGCTCCCTTTAACGAGAATCGCCTGGAGAGTCAATGTCAGGAGGCCGGGAGTGTACAGGACGACGTGCCAGTGTCGCTCGAGTCTCTTGTCCACCCAGAGAATATCACTGACTCGTGCTTCCAGCTTGTCATTCAAGATGGGGAGGAAGCATTGATAGAGCGCCATACAGTTGTAGCACTGCAGCTGTCCCCCGGAGTCAACCCATTGGCAAATAAACGCTCAGTGCAGCAACACCATTTTTTCCCGAAGCTGGGCCCAACAGCCCATGGCGTCCTTATTGCCGGCAGCGGTGCCGGCTGCGCCGCCAGCCTCGGCACTGCAGCGCGCTGCGGCAAAGCCGCAGCCGGCACTGCGACCACCGGGGCATCTTGGACCTGTCGAAGAGGACGTCGTAGAGGCAAAACGCTGCAGGAAGCCCACGGATTCGGCAGGTCTTTGCCGACAGCAGCCTTCGGGTTGCTCTCCCTGTGCCGAGCACTTCGCCTCAGCCGTGCGCCGGTGCCACGGCTTCGCTGGCGTGCGGTGCGCCTTGCGAAGAAGGCACCTTGCTTATGTCGTTCAGCTCGCACCCTGGGAGTTGTGAGTTTAAGGGTTTTCGCTGTTAATTTCGGGGCCGAGTTTCGGAACATGGTCCAGGACAGTTTCGGTCTCACGCCGTGGTCAGTTTCAGGCCCCGAAACTGACAGACCCGCATCCCAGAAACTGGGCGCCGAAACTAGTCCACTCTGACCCGAAACCCCCGGCAGCCGATCAGAAAATGGAACCCTGAAACTACCGGCACCCCTCGCAGACATATGATTACCATGAGCAGCCAGGAGTCTACACAGTCCTCAGGCAAGAGTGGAGCTGCCGGCCGTTCCTATGCAGGCACGGTGATGGGGAAGGAATCCATGCTCGCACTGCGGTCCACAATGACTCGAGGAGCCAAAGAAACACCGCGGGTCCGACGAAGGAGACAGAGGCCCCTTGAAAAGGATAGCTTACAAACAGAGTGTTCACAACATGTTTCGGCCTTGCCTTTCACTGTAGGACCTGCACCTGGAGACATTTTTCCATGAAGTTAGCCCAAGAGACACTTCAAGTTTTTTCTCTGGAGATTCGGACGCTTTTTTGCTTGCGCCTAGAATTTCAGCATCAGGCGACAGCGGCCCAAAGTGCTTCGTAAACCGGAGCTGGATCCGAATGAGGCCTCGCACGCGCGTCCCACCCTTGAACAGCCGAAATGTGAGTGCCTCCGCAGGTGCCCGAGGTGCAGCCAGCCATCATCGTGGATGAGGCACATTCGCACTTTGAATCGCCGCGAGTCAACACCGCAACTCGCCGAGAGGTGTCCTGGACCCCGGCGGTGAAAGGAGCCGGCGAGAAGGGGCGGTACTCAACCAAGCCGGTCACTAGGCTGCAAGGGCTCCTTCTGCGAAGCTGAGACACCGTCCGCCCTTGCATTCCTGAGGTCCTCGAGTCCGTGAGTTGGAGCGTGTGCCGGAAGCAGAAGATTGGGTTGATTGGACCCAATGGTTGTGGGCTCCTGGGATGCATCGCGTGCAAAGGAAGATACCAGCCTGACGTGGTGAGAGCAGGCTTGCCGGTTGGTGATCCGAATCTTTTCGTCTCCACTGTGCCCAGGAAAAGCTCGCAGCTGTTGATGCTTCTGGGGCAAATCGAGCCGACTGGCGGCAGGTGGGCGTCCGCTGAGCCCGTGCGACGGTGATAGCCATCGGTCCGTGCTAGCTAAGCTGCAGAAGGCCATGAGCCTGTATTGTTGAAGGCCCCTGGTCGGCTTTTGAGTAAGGCTTAGGCACGACTACTTTTCGTTGGAATCTGAGTGGGGATGCCTCGAATTTTCATTAACCCCAAGCCTATGTATGTTACATATGTAATGTTTGATTGACCACTCCTCTCTGTGTACTGGAAACTGAGTTGAGCTTCCTGCCCACTTCCCAAACCTTTCCCACGACTGCAGAAAGTGTAGGGGGAAGGTAGAATGGCCTTTGCTGGGAACTCTGCAGGCTGCATGAGCCACGCAGACGTAAGATTGTAGGACTGCAGAACGAAGGGTTTACGACTTTGCGATTCAGCAGTCAGAAAACTGCAAAGCGGATCCTTGGTATGAAGTATGTTCAACAGAATGGTGCTGTTTTGCTCGGGGGGGCACGGGTGACGGGGTTGCACTATACAGAGGCCAGGAAAGTCACAGAGCCGGTTCTGTTGTGCAGCATGCAAGCATGCAGGATCATGAAGCACCCAGCAAAGATGAAGATTGCCTACATGCAGCAAGAGGCCGACTTGGATAACGGCAAGACTACCTTCGAGGCCTGCAGCCCTGCATTTCGATGCTGTTGCTATCCTTGCCTCTTCCCGAATGCGACAGTCTCATTTCGAGAATTTCCAGGAGTTGCTGTCGGTCTTCGGCGACCGATCGCTTGCAGAGGTTGACTCAGCCATTAAGGAGGCGACAGCGGACGCCAGGCTGGACGGGGTGCGAGCGGCTGGTGTTTTGGCCAATTCCATGCAGTGCCCTGAGGCTGGAGCAGCTCGACCAGCTCGTGGAGGTCCGTCCAAACATGCAGAGCTGGTGTTTTAAGCGCGGGCACTCCAGAAAGTCTCGGAAAGTGAAGCGAAGCGCGAAGCTGCTCTGCCCTCCAGATCAGGAGCGAAACCTCACCGAGAAGCATCTCGGAGAGGCCCCTGAATCTCAATGACTTGGCACGGGATGAACTCGCGCGGTTCTGGTCTAGTTACTACTTGTAGTTGCTTGCCAGTTGTGCTCCTTGCCGCAAAAACTTCTGAAAACGCAGAAACTAGAATCAGCGATGGCCGAAACGTTTGCTGCTACTGAGACTTTGTAACGCAGGTCGAGGATCTGATATTGCAGCTGGATCTTGTGACTGAGCTGCAATTGAGGAGCACATTAGCCCCAGCATGGCACACTAAGCCACTAAGCCTGCGCAAGAGGTCTCCTACCGCAACACCTTGGCGCGGGATATGTCTGGAGGATGGCAAATGAGAGTTGCGCTTGGGAAAATCATCCTCTCCCGCCCAGACTTGATTCTCCTTGACGAGCCCACGAATCACATAGACTTGGAAACGGTGGAGTTCATGGAGGAGCTGCTGAGAGCGCAAGATGTGGCGATGGTCATCGTGTCCCATGACCGATACTTCCTGAACCAGGTGTGCAATCGCATAGTTGAGATTGCGGACGGAGAGTCAAAGACCTACTTCGGAAACTATGTGGAGTACTTACAAGCCCGGGATGGTGCCTTCTACAGTGAGTGGCAAGAGTACAACCTGCACAGAGACCGGGTGCTCGCCTTGAAGAAACGGATCAAGAAGCTGCAGCAACGATTTCTAATGGACACTCTGAAGCAGAAGAAGCAGGATCCTGCTAAAGCATGAGTGCTGCATATTGTGTCTGTTACGGCTTGGTTTGGGGTCAAGGTCTTTCGACTGCCTTGAAGTTTCGGACGTAGTACCAGGTGCCGTCACAAGCAGGCAGCTGTTGAGGCGGCTTGGCCCAGTTGCCTTTCAAAGTTCATGTCAGGTCAGGTTTGCGCAGTCGCACAAGACAGTCGAAACGACCCGCAGGACTTAGAGAAGCTCCTTGCGAATGCCCCGCCCAAGCCAGAGGCACGATACCGTGCATATCTTTGGGACGAAGGAACGAAAAGTGGCTAAGTAGCCTTGCTCTGCCAAGCCCCAAACCTGGAGGTCAAGGTGGTCAAGAATTTCCGCTTTCCGTGCTCGTTGTCCGTGGCCTCTACGGAGGAAGCCTCCACGGAGGAATCCTCTGCAGAGGAGGAGCTGCCGTTGTTTCGCGTGTTTTGCTGTCGCGACATTCAGAAATCGCGACGCTGTGACTGTGCATGTCCCAAGGAGGAACCATCAGAGGATGTGGACGACTTGTGGGGTTCGGAAGTCGAGCCGCTGCCGCTGCTTGAGGCAGATGTGCTGTGAGAGTGTGGGCAAATCTTGTCGTTCTTGTTGGCTGCAGGTGGAGAACTTAAATGTCTCGTTCCCTGACAAGGCGCACAATGAAAGGGTGCAGGTTCAACAGGTTAAGGTTTAGGCGAGGTCAAAATAGTGTGGTGTGAGGAGGAGGGCCGAGGGCCCCCGCGGGCCCCAACGGGTGCCGACTTGCCTCTCGAGGAAGTTCTGAAGAACATCAGCTTCACTCTGCGTCAGGGTGAGAAGGTGGCCGTGGTCGGACCGAACGGATGTGGCAACCCGTCGCTGGCTGTCGAGTGCAAGACGAAAGCACGGCGGGACGTCCACAAACCAGCTTGTGCTTCGCCGTCTCTGAGGTAAGAGTACCCTCGTGAAGGCCTTGGTGAATGACCTTGACAAGTCCGGTCGCGTCGAAGGCCGGACCCCCCCAAAGTTGAGTCCAGTGTCATGCGCATGCCGACCCATGGCTGCTGGCCTTTGATGTCAATGTGAAAACAGAGTGTGGCCTGCGACTCCGCTGTGCACCAGGACAAGCCTCCGTGACCTCGGCTGGCTCTGCCTACTTTCCGCAAAGAAACTCTCCCGCAACAAAAAGAAATTCACTCTGCCAGTGTCAGGTCTTGAGGGGGCGCCCAATCATTCTCAGACTTGTAGACACATGTGGAAAGCGATGTAGGATCATCTAACAACACCGTACAAGATCGGGTGCTCAGCATGCACCAGCAAGAGCCACAAGTTCCGCTTTCAACATGTGCCATTCCATGCCAAGGACTTGCCGAGGCGTTTAACACCGAGGAGGGCTCGGTCCAGGATGCTCTGTACATGTCATGTCACTTGGTGGCGCGAAGATGCCAAAGCAGTTTCCAAACCCAAGATCGAGCTTGCGAAATCCCAGGGCCAAAGCAGACAGTAGAGAGCTTGTCATGGCTGCTGCCTGCCTGTTGCTTCGGACATGTCCAGGCACATCCATGGACGTGGAACGAGCCGGTGGCATCGAATCTCGGAGCTTCAGTTGGCCGACGGCAAACGCGCAAGTTTGCTGTTTAATTTGTGTCTGCAGAGAAGGACCCGGTAACGAAAGGTCAAGCAGAAGGCCTTAATGCAGGAAGACTGACGTAGCGCCTCTTGTGACATGAAAGCATTCAGGAAGCTGTCCTAGACCGTTTGCGGCTCAGTGGAATTACGGCGAAACAGCCGGTCTCCAGCCTGAGTGGCGGTGAGAAGGCCGGACGAGCAAAGCAGTGCAAAACTGGTGGGCGAGCCAGCGAGAGCGGAGCCCATTGCAGGCACGCCTGGCCTTTGCCAAGTTCTTGCTGAAGCCAGTGGCCTTGCTGGTTCTCGATGAGCCAACCAACCACCTGGACATTCCGACGAGGGAGCTCCTGGAAGATGCCTTGAAGTCCTTCGAAGGACGCCACTAGTACCCGCTGCCTCGAACGAGCATGCGTGCCCGTTTTGGTTCTGATTCCAGGAGCGGCCCTGGTCGTTAGCCACGATCGCAGCTTGTCATTTTGGAGCTTCATGCGGAGAAACTCCTGGAGCCTCCAAGCATCGAAGTTTTCCGAATTCTCCCTGAGGCTTCTTCCTCCGAGAGTTTTCCACCCGGGTCTTGGAAGTTTCGAACGGCAACATCATCGACCACCCGAGCTGGGACGACTACCAGGCATGCGCTTGGCACGAAGTGTGCCGTTTGCCGTTTGCCATTCTACCCTCATCCTGAGCCCCAGATCCCCCGAGGTGCAGCGGCCAAGAAAGCAAAAGCAACTCCAAAACTAAACGTATTTCTCACATGTCTTTCATCTCGCCCAAGCATGGTGGTTATGGCGGTTATGGCGTATGTCCAGGCATTCTTCAATGCTCGGCGCTTGCAAAGTAACATGCACAAGGTCAAGATAACGTGTCTCAATTGCGGACGGGATCGGTAATGTTGCAGCATTGAAAGTGGTTTTGCATTCACAGCCGTGGACAGTGGCGACGGCCTGTCGTGCTTGGTTAAGAGCCCGTGTGCCCCGTCGAAACCGAAGGCCAGCGAGTGTCTAGTGTCAAGCATTATATACCAAAAGTAATTGGATAGAATGTGATGTGCTATACACAGTGATTCGCATACGGGCCCATGAACCAGACCGTACGCTTCCAGGCGGCCGCTCCGCCGCAATGGCAGCAGGCTCAGGAGGACGAGGCCCAGCGCTCGTTTGCCCTCGCAGTCTTGGTGTGCTCCCCGCGCCAAAGCATCTTGTTCCACTCACGATCTGAAGAGAGAGGTCAGCTTCATCAAGCAGGATGCCGTTGTTGCTAAGATCTGGTCGAGCCGCTTGATTAGAAGGTGTGAAGTTTTGCTACGTTACGCATAGGCGTAATTGCTCTTCGGCTTTCACGCCTGATTTTGTCCTCTTGCAATCATTCACGCCAGTTTGCTGCGGGTTATTTGAACCAGAGCTTCTTCAAAGGGGTGCTTGAGAACAGAACACATGCAGCCAAGGAAAGAAGATGTCCCGGTTGGCCAAGCGCGAGGGCAAAAGCGGCTTGTCTATCCATGAGACCCACTACCCCCCAATCGCTGTGATTCATGAGCCCGTTCGCAGGCATCATCTTGGGAACGGTGCAACCGAAACGGAAAGTGCATGGAGTAATCGCAGGTCGAATCCAACCTGTCTGAACGGTGATCGGCTAGATTTGGAAACGTTGCGGACCCAACCTCTGACAGCGTGCCGGATTGCCACGTCATCGAAACTAGGTGGCTTTACATGCCCACGTGTTTCGACGCGGTTCGGAGCTCCAGGACCAGAACCACAGGGCACCAAGTCCCCATTTGCTAGCCTGGTGATTTCACCCACCATCACTGCTCGCGCTGATAGGAGTAGAGTTATACCCGTATCGTCCCTTGGCAAAGGCATTGGCTTGCGCCGCTTGTCTAATCGCATCGAGGCCGGATCTTCGTGGAGCGGTTGCAGTGTGCAGACGTCTTGAGAACAGAAGCTCCTGTACTGCCTAGAGGAGTTTATGGTGAAGCCTGCGGAGAAGAAGGACGAGGAAGCCGACTCCAAAGAAGCGACCCCTGAGATCGCAGGGGTTTCTACTGAGTAGCTTCAAAGCAGAGCTGTCATCCCCTCAAGAGCGCGTGCCCACCGTGGTCTTCCTTTCAGAGAAGTCTGATTAATTCTTCACTTGCCGGAGCCTTTACTTTTGTGATGGCCAACCGAAGGTAGGCCAAGCATGGCCAGGTTGGTTGCCATGGCGTGGGGCAACAGGCCAATGTGGTTGATAGCTTCATGTGCACGTCCTTGTCAGTCTCCTGGAGCCCTCGTCCACGGAACCGAGCCCGTTCGTCTTTTGAAGCTTCACGACAGGCCAACAGACGGTTAGCACACACATGCTTGATCATCTGTGAAGCACCGGCTCCTGTCAGTTTGAACAATACAGAGTGCCTTGAAGATTTTCGGACGCGAAGGCCATGGCTGTCAAGGAGCCCACAGCTGACATAGTCCTATTCGAGTCATTTCGGGTTATTCGACATGGCCCTAGCTCCCCCAATTTGTGCACGAATTCGAGCCTCTGGTCTGACAGATCCCTGCTGCACGTAGTCTTGAGGAGAGATTGCGTGCATCCTTAGCGGGGCACGCAGAGTCGCAACTTCAGGTGTCCTGCAAGACCTGTCGCAGCTCCAGTCTGTAGGACTGTAGTTGCCGAGCGAGCCACTCGCCGACATGCCGCAGAGAGGCAAAATGTATGCAAGGTGACTCACTAAGTTCTCCCCTCACCCACAATTATGCAGGCGTCAGTGGCAAGGGCCTTTGAATTTTGAAACGTATCGAAACATGAGAGGCGCCGAGCGACGGTGCCTTGACAGTGCCACAACCGGCAAACGAGGTGCGAAAGACGGTGGCCGTGTTTAGCGCACCACTCACTGCACATGCTCTGACTGAAACGCATATCGGCACCGCTGGGAAGGCTTGTTCTGGCTCATGCATGAGTTTCCAACTCGTTCTGACGGAATGCAGCCCGCGTTCCTGTATCCGAAAGCGGGCGCCAGTGCCCGCCCAACACAAAAAACACTTGCTGCGAGCAGGAGGAGCCAGCAGATGCCGACCAGCATCTTGATCCACCGGGCACGCTGCATTCCAGCGAGGTGCAGCACCATGAAGCCAGCTTGGTGTTTGTCACATTTGGTGGCGCCGCAGCGCCAGCGAGCTCGGAACTTTGCCCTCGGCGCGCAGGTTGCAGCGGCCAATGTCTCACCAGCGCACGAGAGCTTTCAGGAGCAGGCAACGACCGTGCTTGGAGCGAAGTCGTGGGATCGAAAGAGGATAATTAGTCGGACAGTTGCTTTGGTTGAGCTGTTCGCGTTCTTGGAGGCAGTGGAGACTGGGAACAGCATCCCGGGCCCAGAGAGCTGCGATGCAGCTGCCAAGGCAGTTAGTGCGAACTTGCGTCAACGAAGCTTCCAAGATTGTTGTACAGTTCCGGTCCAGGCTAACCATTAAGCCGTTATGTCATATTTTTTCCGACAATTGCACTTGGAGAGGACGACACGACTGCGACACCTGTGCCGGGCAGTGCACCTGAGGCCCCGTCAGGCAATTGCAGACCGGAACCAAAAAGCCGCCACAGCTTGTTTATTCCGCAGGAGCCGGCAACTCCCGAAGTGCAGCCAAGCAGCGCTGTTGAGGTTTGGGAGCAGTAGCAGCAGAGCCCCTTCGCACAGCATATGCGTAGGCGCTTTGCTTTGTGTTTCTGAGAGGCCGCTGAAAGCTCCATGGAGCCGGGCGAGGCGAGCACCGAAGGGAGAGACATGCCGTTTTGGTTCGTTTGGCTGCTCTTCTCAGGTCGAGGAGGATGTTACGACTGTGCCGCAGGACTGACTCAGAGAATGCGCGGCGGCTACTAGTAGTGGTCCTTCGCGGGTGCGCTGGAGATTGCTGGCACCGAAGGAGACGGGCGAAGTGCCGGAAGCCAAGGCTGGGCTTGGAGAGCGCGCGGCGCGACCCCGAAAGCCTCGCCCGGTTTTGTGAGCGTTTGAAGGCAGTGACAGTTGAAGAGGATTTGGATGCACCGGTGGCTGGAAGCGAGGAAGAGTATGAAGACGACATCGAGGCCACGCACAGCACGCATCGAGCAATATGGGGGCTACGTGCCTATGTCTATGTAATCTCTACCAAGGAGGAGCAGCAAGACAACACGGAGGGCATGGAAGGCATGATGGTGCCAGCCAGCGAATCCGAGCAGCGACAGGCACCATGCGCATGAGTGATCCGTCTAGCATGAGTTCTGTCGACCCAGTGTGCTCAGGTCAACCCGACCGTCCTCAGTGACGAGGAGCTGCAGAAGAATCGCGAAGACAATCATCCTCATGTTGTTCGGTGTAGTGGGCAGTCCTCATTGTTGCATGCCATGGACGTGCGAGGAGGAGTCCCCACGCTCTCATCGCTCCACGAAGAGATACAGCGAAGCACCCAGCACAAATGTGCGCTTATAACTTCTGGCATTCTTAGGATAAACCGAAGCAGTAGTTCCTGCAGTCGATCGCAACATGCGGCACTGACACTAAGCACCACGGCGGCTGCCAATGCCCAAGCCGCCCACGGAGGAGGATGACACATGCAAATGGGACAACCAGCACGAGCTGACGACATGTCGCTGGTGGGCAGCATGTCGCTGCTCGCCGAAGGCTGGTCAGCTTCAAGTTGAAACAAAGCATTCAGGACGCCTTCTCTGAAGCGGCTTTGCGGAAGCGAGCGGAGCAGAGGCACAGTTCTCAGACGACACTACACACCCTGCCATTGAATTGGATTCTGATTCATCAGGCTGAAGCATTCCATGCAGCTGGCGTCCATGAAGCTCGGCGGCACTACCTACTACCGGCTTCTGGTGCCGAAGGATGCGAGGTATCATCGGCAGGCAGACCTGCAACAAATGGATATGTTGGTAGCCGCACTCATAAGCCTTTGCACAGCAGTTGTTTAAACTGCTACTGAGTATTTCTGAGTGTTGTAGCATCACTGGGTGTTCGGTCGCAGAAAATGAAATACTTTCCTGGCAGCTTAATAATGCAGTTTGTTGCGGTGATCACCAGATTCTAACAGTGAGTCCCTTACTCCTGCTTTGAGGAACATCCCATCTGTGCAATTTGGTTGCATACAGAGCAGCTAGTGCAGCATCGAAAGGAGGCTTTGCCCGAGCTGGCCCAGGACCAACTATCCCAAGCCGTTCGGCGGAAGAATCGAGCTTACGCTGGATGCCCTCTCTGCAGAGGCACCTGCATGTGCACGATTTCACAAAGATTTAAGTTAATGCTGCTCTGAACCCGTCGCCCACAGAATCTGAACACGTGCCATCTCCTCACTGCATTGTGTCTAGTCGCTTTGGCTTTCATCGAAACCAAGACTTTGCCGTCAGGCTCAGCGAAGCTTTCTGAGGGTGGCTCGCTTCGAGGCTGAAGCTTGGCTCCGCCCGGTGCTTAGAGAAGTCGCCCCGAAGGTAAGGTGGCACGGTTCCCGGCCTTTCACGTGGTATGACCCTCCTCTGAGTGGTGAGAAGTATTCTGCCGTGCGACTTGCATCGCATACTCCAGCGACCATCAGTTCTTTCAGAACTCTATGAGTATTCTCGTTCGACTTTTTGCGGAAATCGACTGCTCTTCCCAAGCCTTTGTTAATCTATATGCCTCCATGTTCCGCACTCTGCCGATGGAGCCGCAAATCGGCAAGCGACTGACAGAAAGCTAAAACAGGTGGGGGCAGAGCAGAAGGCTCTGCGATGTTCCGACGCATGTTTGTGGCTGAGGACAGCAGCAGCAAAGCTGTGAAGCACAGGCGGTGGTTGATTGGAGGAATTTCAAGTTTTGACGTGCATGTACAGTAGTAGCGCTGTACGGACTGCATGTGAGAAACCTGTGTCGAGATCCATGTCTTGGTGCAATCCCTGGAGTGTCTTTGAATCGCCAATGACTTGGTCGGCAGGCTCGTGTCGCCAAGCGACAGGCCCACCATGCAGCTCGGGAGACTCATCACACAGACCAGTCCAACACAGAAGCTCTTTTGCATCCGCAGGAAAGGATTCTGGGCCAGATTGCCGAGTGGAGGGAGCGCAAAGACAAGGAGCCTCTGGTGACTCACACTGCTAGTCGCACGACACCTCCTGGGCGCAGGAGGAACAAGAGGAGCGAAAGAGAGTCGAGGAGTCGGAAGCCCTGAGATGGACAGCAACCTCAACAAAGCGGCGCTGCGCATTCGTCCTCGCTCATTGAAGGCTCGAGCGTCAGAACGAGGAGCGCGAGCAGAAGGAGAGAGAGCGATGGCGAAAGCTGGAGCCCCAGAGCATGAATGGAAAAAAGGGCCGAAGGCCGCGGATCATTTAGCGATGCACTCTGAGCTTCAGAACATCGTGGACTTCAATTGACCCTGTTCAGGCGCGGTGAAGAACTCCGTCAGAGCCTCGCCGTGCGACCCTCGAGTGCCACGGGTGGCGGTGGCAGGCAATGCAGAACAACTGTAATTGCTTGACTTGAAGTCCACTGCGCACACGGTCTGCTCAATGGCAATCTTCCGTACTCCGCAGCGCGAGGATCAGAGAAGATGAGGGCCTTTATACAAGCCCGGCACAAGCGTACCCAACCAATGTAAGTCAGTCTCCAGACATGTCCCAGCACGCACATCTACCAGCCAGCGGCATTCAGGCAAGGGACATGAGCGTCCCCACGAACGCAGCAGATCCTGGGATAACAGGTGCACCTCTGAAGTCAGCGGATCATCCAAAGTATGCATGGCAATCTAACCCGGCGACACTTGGAATGGCGCAGACTGTCAACGGGGAAGGCGCCTATCGTCAAAGATGCGTTTGCGAAAGTCCAGTGCGTGGGGACTCAGACCTCCACGCGACATTAAGTTGGAGCCGATACAGTGGAATAGAAATGTTGGGCCGCAGGACGTCTCAAGCTGTGACCTTTGTTCGTTGTACATCGGACGAGTGCCTCGGTTGTCAGCGGACGAGTCCTGTAGAGCCCGAGCAGAGAGACCGGAGGAGTCTTTGGCGATCTTGCAAAGAGCCCCCCCCGTGGCTCTTGGAGCCACGTGTCCTCTACAGGTGCGCCTGCCCGGCGCGCCTCCATGAGGCCCAGCGGCGAGGCCATCGGCTTTGTAGATGTCTCGTGTTGTGGGCGGATGCCGGTGATAAGCGCAGCACTCTTCCATCATGATGCGCAATATTGCAGCTCAGCGAAGAGCTAAAGGAAGAGAGCATCCTGGGAGCAGCCGCGGCTGTTTCTGCCACAGCTCACCGAATAGTAGTACTATGTAGTGGCACCTCGGAGCTCCTCACAAAAGATCTCAGACAAATTGATGCATCCTGTTCAGGGCAAACTTTTCGCACAAGGCGAGGGATTGCGTGGAACTGACACAAATTCTGTGATGACCAGCCATGAAGCTTTAGGTTTCTTCGTCTTCTTCTCATACCAAGCAAGACCCCGAGCGGTCAAAGCCGATTTCTGTCTCGAGGGCCAGGTCGATCGCTTGCACAGCGACGATGTACATAGACTTCCGTCGCCTCAAAAGCGACGTGTCGGGAGCAGCGGCTTAGCAAAGCAGCGCCAGGCAGTGCTCTTAGAGGAGGAGGAAGCGTCGGAGGACTGCTTCAGAGCACGGCTGATAGTTTCGAATCTCGTGTCACATTGAGATCAGTCCTTGGTGCAAAGCCTTTCGACCCTTCGGGTCAGGACAGCGCTCCGTCTGAAATAGATGGAGATCCCGCAGACCTGCAGCAGATGTCGGAAGTCGAACGGCTGCTGAATAGCAACGATCATCCTGGGCTCAGACTCGCCAAAATTGAATTTGCGGTTCGTTCCAAGGCTGGAGGCCATGAACCAGTTCGCAGCGCGTCGCAAAGCCGGCCTCGACAACACTGAGGACACGCGGAGTGGGAGCTCAGGCATCGACGATTAATGATTCGAGGTCGAACTTAGCAGACTCATACCTTACTTAAGCTACTGGCTCTCACCGCATCTTACAGCTGCAGAGATGGCAGCGGCCAGCTGCCGCCATCAGCAGCTGCTTCCTTTGGATTCGTGCGTGGTGGATCCCAGCCGTAGGGACAGCAACATGATCAGGACTCTGTCGCCAAAGCTGCGGCAGATGCCTTTTCCCAAGGGGCTAAGCAGGTGGGCGGGCTGCTTTTGATGCAGATGGTTTAGTTCTGTGCCTGCGATGCAACACGTTTAAAGGTGCTTGGGGGGTGCAGGTTGGCCTGATTCTCGCACCCGATTCGCCAGGTGATGCTGCCCGCGAAGACGGAGTCGGAATTACCAGAGAGGCTGGCTTTTGATGGCGCTTGCTTAAAGACCGGCCGCTGCCATGGTCGCAGGTCCGGCTGGGTGAAACGCATGGCGGAGAGTTTGGGCTTTCTCTCAAGCTGGGAATGGCGCTGGCTGGTGCTCAAGGCAATACAGGGCATGCAGATGAATCAGTGACCACATCCTAGCCTGCGTTGGGAGAGTATAAAATGTTCGTGGCATAGGAAAGCCTGTTCAACAGATATTGGTCAGTTGCTGCTCCAGTATATGGGACAGTGCGAGGATTGCCGAGCGGCGTGGTTTGAGGGTGTCACAGCTGCACGTTGACTTTTGTTCCGTCGGTGTGATTGGCACCAACCCGCAGCAATTGCTGATGCCTTGCAAGTTCGGCACATATTTGTCGCGCGCGCCTTGCCACTCAGGTCCAGACAAGAGACGCTTGCATGGCCGGCTGGGCTGACATTGACCTGCTCCGGGGACAGTAAGCTGTGAATAGGTGTGGGCACATATGGGCACATGCTACAGTGTGACGGTAGGAATTTCTTATCTCATCAGCAGGATAGACTAGGCCAACTATCGCTGGCTAATGTTTCGCTTGGCGAGGCTTGTGTTGGATGTAGTTTGCATGACAGCTTGGCGCTGGTTTTCTTCGGCCGAGTTTACACTTGTTTCTAGTCAATCGCGCGCACACACACATAGACATTCACACATGCCGCCCTACGACTTTTGCGGAAGAGCAACAAGCCAGTTCTGATGATGCAACAAATCGCCGGAGTCTGCAACACGGAAAATCAAACTGCCAGGCGTGATCGATTTCGAGCTTGTGGATGTGGAGATCGAGCGGCTTTGGGATGATCCGTCGACCAGCGAAGCCTCGCGCCATTCAGCTGAAACATATTTTGGAGTTTGCTTGGCGCCTTCACGGCCTCACCCCTTTGGAGCATCGCCTGAGGTAGCCAAGGCATCAGAAGAGGCAAAGATCGTGGGTGTCGGCACCCTGGCTTCAAGTGCAACAGTGCAAGGTGCAACTGGCTTGGCCTTCATGCAGGATATTATCGGGAGATTTCCAGCATAAAGTTACCGCTACATCTCATGAGTGTATTGAGACTTTCAGCCCAAAATGCAATCCTGGCGGAAGGATTCAGTGCCCCTCCCCCCCAGGGCGGTTTGCATTTCCGGCTTCTTCAGCTCCGATGAAGCCTACTTCCGTCTTCTGCCGGTGGGGAGCAATCGGGCCTTCGAGTTCGGCTCCACGGCCTGCAAGGGAGGTTCTTGGCACTTCTTGGTGCAATTCTTGTATATAGGGGGCCTGGGAGACGATCCTGGTGTTGTATATGTATTCGCTGCAGGGCTCCAGGCTGTAAGAGTGACCTTCGTATATTTTGTGTAGCTCATTCTGAAGGTCTCTTAGTGGGAACACAAGCCAGCCTCGATCCAGAAGGGGGGCCGAAATGCCGCAGATGCGTCGAGGTGAGAACTACGGCTTTTTGGAATATGACTATCAGCCGATAATACGATAAGCAAAATATGCCTCGGAAGTTCTATCCGAGGAGTCGCCACACGGAAGGAGGCTGGCTACTGGATCGACGATCTGGGTGCGCACCTGGAGGCGGATCCGTCGTTTTCAAGTGGGGTGGAAATACTTCCACCATTTAAAAGCAGGGGCTGACATGCATGAGTTACAGAGAGCAGCGTGGAAGAAAGTTAGAGGATGCGGGCTTCCCAAGTTGGCAGTTGTTCTTCGAAATTCGGGTCGGCGGTCTTTTGCAGGAGGCAGATCGCCGCTGCGAGGGCCGACCACGACTAAGTGCCGAGAGGCCGGCCGGAGCTGAACCGCGTGAGGCAGGCAGCAGGGTCTTCGCAGCGTCTTCCCTCCAGGCTGAACGCCTTTCAGCGCAGCCGCATCAAAAATGCCTGGTGGATCCTGGACAGCAGATTTCCACACGCTCTGGTACAGATACGGGCGACCCAAGTGTAAAGCCTAGAAGCCGCAAGGCCCGTTGGACAGCTGTTGCAAGAGCACAAAGGATTTGCCATATTTCTATGAAGCAGCCGTTGCGAACTTGATGCTGCATGCCAAACAGATCATGCAGCAGATTGAGTCTGCACACGTGCAAGCGTGCACCTCCTTAAGAGCCTGAGGAAAGTGAGTCGGATCTCACCGGAGACGTTTAAACATGTCGCGGCAGCTTGAACTGCATTAGATCATTCGGCCGCATGAAGCCTTGGCAACCCGGACAGCAGCAGCTAAAATAGCTGAGGCAACCGGCGATATTTTGCTTTTCAAGTCCAAGGGCACCTTCCCAAGGCGGCCGGAGCAAGACACGGGAGCTTGCAGACGATCTCATACGCTTGCAGCCAGGCTGATTCGCGCAGCTTCAGCTGGTACATCACGGCACGGTCGCTTCGATCATGTGGGCAACATGGCAACCAAGGGCTGGCGGGCATGGAGATATCATGTCGCACGACTTGGTTTTGATTGCCTGCAGCGGTACCTGCTGCTTCTGCTCTTTCGACCTACTACCAGTAGCTGGTGTTGAGGTTGCCGCTCTGCTCACCGACTGAACTCGTAGTGTTTACCCTGCCGCTGCGATCCGAAGCCGTGCAATTTGGGAATTTTCCCGAATCCTTTCGCCAAGGTCTCATCTTGAGACTGGAAGGTGACACGATCGGCATCTTGGAAGCCACAGGCAGCATTGGCTACCCTGCGGAAGGTCTTGCAATGACTTTTTGTGGACGATGGAACTCAGTGCAGGCAACGAGGGTGTTGGATTGTGCACCTGGAGAACTTTCCTTGCCAATGGCTGGCAGACTCTCGGCGCATTCCTACACTTACAGCCTGGACTGAGCTCGGCCGTAGGTGGCTACACTGCTCATTCAGAATTAAATTGCGCCGGCATCGGCCAGATCTTAGGAACTTGTATCCAGAACTGGCTTTGAGACGCAACGTGGCAGCACATGCAATGCTTGCTAGGCTGTTCACCAGTGGACAGTCACATCTCGTTCGACAACTCAAACTAATCCATTGATCGGCGAGGCGTGCGATGCCCGCGAACTGCTGAGGCGCTGTCTACCCTCCAGGCAGCGAGTAGGTACTAGCCGACAGCACAACGTAGCATAGGTCCCATCATGAAGATACGTAACGACGTAAGTAGTTCAAGTTTCGCGAGAAGTTGCCGGCCTAAGGCCAATAACTGAGATAAGCTAGGCAGTTGTTGGTGCTTTGGCCCTCGGCTGGGTATCATGGGGAGGTGGAGAAGGAATAGCATCCTGTAGCCTTCGATGGTTTTTTTCCAGGAGTGGGTCGGCAAGGTCATCGGCAAGCCATATAACCTCTCCGCCGCTTGACCAAGACATAAGCTGCCAGGGTTCTCGTTTTTTGCTCCTGGTTTTTTCATTTTGCTCCATGCTTTTGACTCTCAGGTGAGCAAGCTACGACACCGAGGGTCGACCGGCGGTGGACAGCAGGACCGGACCGCTCCACGGCAGACTTGCTGCATGTGTCGGCATAAAAATGCACTTCGAAGGGATAAGAAAACGAACAGCGGACAGGCCAAAGCTTTGCTAGCGGTTCCGCCTTCATGCAGCAGAGGAGGGGTGAGCTCATTTTGCAGGACTTCTTCTGCTCACAGCTGGTGGCTGAAGCACTGAAGGTCCTCGGCGTCATTCCAAGAGGCGCCATTGCAGAGCCTGGTGCGATATCGGCCTGAGAAGATGTCATTGCAGCGGCGCATCGCTCCCAATTTTGTTTTCGTCAGGCCAGAAGGACTCTGCAGAGTTCTGGCCCTCGTCATTTTCTGCCAGGAGACACGCAAGCTGCCGTGCTGTATTGCTGATATCCTGTGCAAAACGAGCAGAGACCGCACCGAGGAGCTCACCAATACCTTGCTCACCTGGATGCAGTTTCGATCCTGAGGATTTGACAATTGCTGCCTGGATAAAGCTTGGCAGAGAAGCTTGCAGAGTTGTGTCATTTCTTCAAGTCGCAAGATTAGGTGATCCACGTCGCAAGCTCTCGGCCTGTGTCAGGGCGTAGCTGTTGAGAACAGTGAGCCGAGGATTTCAGTTTGAGCGGCCAGACAGCCACGGAAAGTAGCGGATCTGCTAAGCGTGATGCAACTGATGCTTGGCTCCACTCTGTCGGCGTGAAAGCGGTCGGACTTGGAATGCTTTTCATAGCACACCTTCGAGATGCCGAGGTAAGTTTGTGGTGAGAGCTGGCAGAGACCCCATCGGTGGAAAACTTGAAGCTGCTGCTTTTGGTGTAGGCACTGTCAACACCATCAGCACGTTTGGAGAAAACGTATTGGAAGTCGGAAATGCGCCTGGCAAGACCCGTCGATTCCTGCACATTTGCTTGGATCGAGCACTGAATTTTCCGCTGTATCTGCGAGAGCAGTTCCAGCTTGTGGTGCTCTCAGGAAAGTGCAGCAACGGATCGGGCATTGGTTTTCTTTCGGAGCTTGTTCGATCCTAGAGCCGTCACAGACACGATTGCAAAACAAGCTCCGAAGCAGATTCGTGCAAGACTGCGGTTAGAAGTCAGGCAGGCAGAACCAACGGACCGCCCAGGACTGGGCGGCCGAAAAGAGCCAGCAGGAGTTGGAAAGGTCCCAGGCCAGCACCCCAGACTGCTTTCTGACACTTCGCCCTTTGCAAAGTGCAAGGCTGCCGAGAAGGCTCAGAAAGAGGAGGAAGACAAAAGGCGAAGCTTCGTGTCAAAATCTGCAGGCTTTGCATGCAGATCTCGCAGGCGGCAAAGGGAGCAGAGATATCGGGAGAAGCAGCGGGAACTGCTCCTGGAATGGCCACACCCCTCAGAAAATATCAAGCTTTGTAGAAAGTCCCGTCGTGGCTTGTTCTTTCACGTATGATATGTGGAGGAACCGACAAAAGATGGATAAGCTGGAAGAGCAGAGGCTCGCAGAGCAAATGGAAGAAGAGAAGGAGGTGCCAACGGAACTCATGTCAGACTCGACAAATTTGTTTGACTTGTGGCTGACACCCCTCTGCTATTGCTGCACGGTGTTGATCACAACCCTTGCTCGTTGTTTCGGTGCATGTATTGAATACTTTGCTGCAAGCATCGTAGCGAGACACAGAGACGAGAGTCCAGGCTGCAGAAGCGGCAAAGAAACAGAGCAGCGACCCCAGAACCATTTCGTAACATTGGCGCAGCGAGCACCGGCAGCTCGCCCCGGGTTGCCCTCGTCTTTTGCGAGACGAGGTGCCGCGCTCAGAGGACGTGGAGGCCTCAGCTCAAGACACCGTACTGCAGAGTGGCCGTGGCTTTCTTGGAGGCTGAAGCGCCCAGAGTGTGGGGGGGCAGGGGGGGGAGGCGAGGGGAGGGTTGAGCGCTCGGCTCTGCATCTACTGCAGTTTTCAGACCGCTCTCCGTAGTGTGCGGTTGCGGGCTTTGTCCGGTACTAGTAGGCTGTGTCTACTAAACCAGCAGCTGGCCGGCCATCCTGTGCTGGACAATTGCTTACTAGTGGGGTTTCATGACTCCGAATAAGCAGCACCTTCCAAATGCTCCCCCTCCTCAAGTCATGCTATGCCGCAGACTGCCGCAGCCAATTTTGGAACAAATGCGAGCAGAAGGATATTAGCTCAGGATGAACTGATGCAGCTCAGATCACCGGCTTTAAGAGTTTAAGTTGCTTGGAAACACGAGCAGACCGTAGCCCACCTTCAAGCATTGTCTTGCCGGTGGCTCATCAGACAATGGACAAGAAACCACCAGTGCTTCCGCCAACCCTAAGCACAGGTATGCCAAGTTATGCCACACTTCGGAAGAACGGTATCAATAAGTGACGGGCTGCATGCCGAACATGGCCACCTCTGCAACTCGGACGGAGAGTCATTCAAGCTTTGCGAGGGGTTTGTGCGCGTAGTCGAGGACAAAGAGGGCCTGGCTTCCTTGCGAAACATGACCTGCGGCTAGCGGAAGGGTGCACGTTCTCACTGGCTGCGAGGCCCGATGCAGGGCCAGGCACTGCCTGCTGACATCACTATGCCTGTCGGAGTCTTGAAGCTCACTGACCTTTGTGCCGCTGCACCATGCCACGCAGTGTTAAATCTTTGGACTGAGAAGAACAAACAAGCTCAAACATGCACGATTGTGGTCCATGCTCTTTCGCCATTGTGGCTGAAGCGCCGTTCCGGCAAGAGCCCCTTACTGCCTTGCTGCATGTGCCCATGATTGCCCGATGCCCGGATTCTGTTGCCGTGGCCACGGCCGGGACGGCTACTCGCTGCGACCCTCCGAGGGTGCAACTAACTGTGCAAAGCGCGACCGGTGCTTCCCCATGTGGGTGATCCACGCGGACGACGTCCTGGAGCTAAGCGAACTGCAGCCTCACCAGGTGCTGCTTGCAGCTGGAAAACTGAAGGAGTTCGAGCCAGATGATGGCTTCGTGACTTTCGTTTCGCATGAGTGGTCGGGAGTGGAGCACCCGGATCCGGAAAATCATCAGCTCCGATCCTTGCAGCGGATGCTGCATGCTATCCGAAAGAACAAGATGACGCTGGCCCGGGTCTTAGACTTTCTGCGTGAGACGAGATGCAAGCAGATTCTGGGTCACTTGGCCCCAGGCAAGTGACACGATCTCCTTGGTCCGGTTGGGACTTACCCGCAGCGTATCAACTAAAGACCTCAAGAAGATCTCTCGAGGCAGCAGATTCTCAAAGCCTTATTATATGCATGTGTTTTCTATTGCTTACAAGCAAAACCTGCGACCAGGCTGGCTTTGGATCGACTTCGCCTGCGTTCCACAAGCATGTTGCTGCAAAAATACAGACGAGCTGGCCGAACAGCAGAGACAGCTGAAGGAGTGTTTGCATCGAGGATTATAGCTCTTTCTTCAAGCTTTGGAATGTGTCGGGCTGTCGGCTTGGTAGTCGTAATGAGTCGGATTCATGACAGAGGTGTGAGAGTTTGCACTTAGGCTTTACTTATGATCTGCGTGTTTCTAGCTGCGGTTCCACAGCAGGAACGACCCATTGTCAGAGGGTGCCGTTTTGCAAGAAGGCCCGAGCCTTTCCAGGATGCCGTCATGAGTCTGCACACTTACGTCGCCCAAAGCTCCTTCTTCGCTGTGCTGGCGCCGGCACAGAACCACGAGAATGGGAGGTGCGTTCATTCAAGTTTGCTTGTGGCATGCGAGTGAGCACATCCTGCTTCATGATGCCCGGCAGCTGTCCGGGCGACGTTGTGTAATAGGACCAGGGAACACGTTGGGTGTTATCGCGCAGTGCAGAGGCGAATCAGTCTTCCTGTTAAGCTCCAGTCGAAGCAGCGCCGCTCGTGCTACAGCAAGCAGTGCACGACAGCGCACCACAACCTAGAACGGGTGCAACATTCCTGAAAAAGTCTGTGCCACAGGATGATGAACTACATGTCCTGGAAGCGAAGAGGCACGGTCCTTTTGGGAATAACGGTTGGTGTCTATAGAGCATGGCTGGAAGCAAAAGGTTGGTGCCAATTCGAGCTCGCCGTCAATGTTCTGCTTGGAGCCTTGGCATCACATCCTCCCCTGCCCTGAGCAAACGAGGATGGAATTGGCCATCAGATCACAGCATGAACGTGTTGGTTTGCCAGGGCAACATGCTTGAGACAGTCATGCAGAGTCTCTTGGACCACATGTTTGCAGTGAAGCCAAGGAACAAATCCTGTGCTGCACATTGCCAGCGAGAATATTGTACGGCACATGCATGTAAAAGCTACCTGCCGAAGTTGACGGATGGATATCAAGGGTACAAATACGTTCAAGAACATGTGCACGAAACCGTGATGGAGCATTGGAGGATCAGAGGGTGGGCTGCCTGTAGCCTTTAGCTCTACCGCTTGGCAGCATATTCAAGCCGGCCTGCAGCATCCGCAGACTAAGCCGGGGGGTAGCAGCTCCTACAGAAATTTACCCCCTCTGAGTGCGAGCAGCGGCAATGCAGGGCCGCTTGCCCTTTGATCTGTCAAGGTTCTTAGTCATCTCTCCCCGTGTTGCGGGGATTTCACTCGAGAAGAAGATCGACAGCCGCTCGGAATAGAGATCACTGTCACTGCACCCGTCTTGTGTATCGAAGGCGAAACAATGCCACTTCTAAGGTTTGTTGGCGAGGCTTTAAGTCACGTGCCTTGGTTGCAGGGTCAGCTTTTCTGTTTACTGTGCCCAGCAGTTGTTCATGCTGAGTTTGAGCTTGAAGTTCTCCGTGTTGGGCCTGGTGCAAGCATAATCAGGTCATCGATTGCCTCGCAAGCGACCTCCGCGCAACACACAATCTGCACAAGCTCCAACTATTGGATTGCATGCGGACGAAACTGCTCCAATGTCCTCGTGGAAGCCCTGGAGACGACTCCTCCAAGGTGAATGCTGCACTAAGTTCGAGGACCACATTTTTCCACAGTATGCCCCAGCGGCTAAACAGCGGCTGGACACATTTACATTATGCGGTGGCCCGGAACGATCTGTTCGTGGTAAAGAACTTGCTAAAGGCAAGGGCGAATGTGAACACCAAGACGCTGGGGGCTGACAAAGATTTCTTCTTGCGTCCAGCGTTATCGCCCCTCCACGTATGGCCGCTCGGCTTGAAGAGACAAGACACCTGTTCATTTGCAAGACTTGGTCTGAGTCTGCCAGTCTCCATTTGAGTTCATGTTGTGGTGCTCGACCAGGTCCTGTTTCGCCATTAGTCCTGCCATTGCAGAGATTTTGGTGGAACATCGGGCCAACGTCGACAGCACGGCTGACTTCGGTTGGACTCCACTCATGCTGAGCTGTCATCAAGGAGAGTTGCGGGCAGTCATGTTGCAGACGTCAGCAGAGCCCATCCCGACTAGAGCCAGGAGGCGAACTTGCTTGCCGGACACTGCTGGATCTGAGAGCAAGCCCGAACTCGAAGCACAGCTCTGTGAATCTTGGCCTTGTTGGAAGCCTTGCAGTGCTCGGGACCTTGAACCATGACTTTGGAGCAGTCAGTTGGGGGACAGGTGACACGGGTGGTGTGGTCTTCGAGCTCGCAATCATGTTCATACTAGGGACGATAGGCAGCAGGGATTTGCCACCGAACTGAAGCCATGCAGCACGCAGTCACTTGTCCTTGCCAGCAACCGCAACTGAGGGCTTATCCCCCTCCACTGGCAGTGTTCCCCCCTCCCCCTTCCCCCACGCCCATTCACACTGCTCCCTTCCCTCCTGCCCCCCCCTCCACCCCTCCTTGGCTTCCCTCGCGTAGGATGAGAGCTCGGACCGTTCCTGTTAAGAACAGCGACAGCAACTCCCCTGCTTGCACAGTACCAGCCCTTCCAAAAGCAAAGTCGAACCGCTTCATCAAGCTCGGCTCTCGGAGGATTCCCCCGCTCTTCCTTGCAGCTTCGGAAGATCAGCTGGCGCTGGTCGAGCTGCTCCTGGAAGCCCGGGCCGATGTGAATGTTCGGTGGGCCGGCATGAGCGGCTTGACTGCATCGCCCATCAAATCGAGTCAACCTGGCACTGAAGCTCCAACTGCCCCTGTAAAGCGTGTGCAGAATGCCCAGTCGGATCCCGACTGCCGCCCAAGTCCAAGTCACAGCGAAATGGCTTGTTCAAAAAACTGATGTCGCTCAAAGGGCCCCGAGTAGCATCAGCTCTGTGATGGGAGGACTTTCTGATTTACGGTTCATAACCGAAAACTCGTCCTGAGGGTTCAGATTAAAGTCTGCTTGAGGTGCCTTGCACGTGATGGCTGCCATGAGCACTGCTGTGACTTTGCCGTCCTGGGCCCAGCAAACATGCTTACACCGCTTGAGAAATGCTCGATGTAAGCCACGCTGCAGAGCTGAGTGCCCGCATGCTTCTGCACTTTTGTGGGACATGAACGAAGACATGTGAGAACTTTCACTTAGGCGTTTGCTGCAAGCTGGGCTGGATCTTAACGAGACCTGCAATGTCAAGTTTCGCACCTCGGCAGCCGCCTGCGTGTAAGCTTAAATCGACAACAGTAGTATTGATGGTTGGACCACTTGCTTTAGACTAGGGAGCTCATCCCAAAATACTTGTAGGTTCGAAAGCTGTCAGTACACCGGCCCAAGGAGGATGCATTCCCCCCCACGTTTATCCCAGGAACTCGGTCCGGCTTTCTCATGGCCTTCAGCAGCTTGGCAATTGGACCGGGATGGGACTAGCAGGCCGAAAGGTCCACGTTTGAGAGCCAAGCCAACGCAGGTGCTCTCTGGGATCGTGACGTGCGTCGCGACATGCCCAAAGTCCGTGGCGGCACACCGCTTGTCTTCGCAGCTGCGCGCGGGAACACAGCGGCGCTCACAGTGTTACCTGGAGAGTATCCCCGGCCTCAATCCTGCCAGTCTCAAACTCTAGAGCAGGGAATGAGCACCACAGAAACAGCAGATCCTGTTGGCATGTTTGCATGATTTGAATCATGGAAGGTTGCTGGAAGCTGGGGCGGACATCACAATTCCAAACCGGCAGGGCAAGCTGGTGCAAGAAGTGCCGCTTGGCATCGATTGCGTTTGCAATGAGGAGTTGGGGAGGGGCAGGTACGAATTGCCGCCTCAGAAACCGTGGAGGTTTCATTGAGTTCCATGACGTGTAATTAGCAAGTGCTCAGGTACGAAGAATCCAAATTTAATTCACTCATGCCTGAGGAGGTATGCATCAAACTATCGTCTCACAATTCAAACAAGCTCTAGGCGCCATTGTTCCTTGGACCTTGTACCGGCATGAGCTGCAAACCTTGAGGGGAAAGCCGATCGTGTACGAACGAAACCCACGAAAGACAGATGCGGAGCTCATGTTGGATGCTGGTCTCAAGGCTGTCTAGGAGGCTGCAGGCTCTCAGACGAAGTAGCCACCTCGAGCGTCCAGCCATTTGGATCGTGCATAGCACATTCCATTGGACAGTTGCTTGTGAAAAGGGAGGTTGCGCAGATGCTATGTTGCTTCGCCTAACCCAGAATGCATCACAGGAGCAGGACAATATCCTGCCTCTGCATGCTGGACATGCTCATTCAATGTCATCAGGATTGCGAATTGAGTCACGAGCGTACGCCAAATCTTAGAACCCCCGGGACATGCAAGGGCAGCACCCAACATTTCAGCTGGTACAAAAGTCTTTGCCTACAAAGGCTCGTTGCCGGCTACGCCAATAAGGAGTGCCCGAGAGAGAGGGGAAAGAGTGCAAAACAGGTTTGCACATCGAAACCGTCTGGCCTTGAGCGATGGCTCGGGCTCCAACCGCGTCTTCGGCCCCCTTCGGCGTTTGTTGGCGGCACCCTGCCGAACACAGGCAAGAGCCGATTCGAGGAGGCACCGCGGCCGAATTCTGGTTGCAGAGGCTGCACGGGTCAACAAACCGCCTTTGGCTCCTGAGTTCGTTTAATCGCAGCGATTGAGATCGGGTGATCGGGCTCGAGGCAGGACTTGGGCGAGGGTTTTGAGGGATTTCCGAGGAGCCAGCGAAACCCTGACGAACAACTCGCGACTTTTCCCGATGTGGGTAATCAGCGTCGACAACTTCCTAGAGCTGGACGCCGCTGGGCCCGCTTCAGTGCGAATGAGCATGGCATCCATCGCTTCAGTTCGCACCTTCGTATTTTCACTTTAGGCCATCAGAAAGCTGAGGAGCTGCGGCCTCACCAGGAGCTGCTGGCAGCTGGAAAGCTTTGCGAGTACGAACGCGGGACCCCGCAAGAACGGATCACTTCAGAATTAGACTATAGACTATAGACTTATGATGATGGTTTAGCTTGGCCTGTTGTGGAGACGGGTGAGGGTTTCTGCCTTGACACTTCAGGACGGGCTTTGTCACATTCGTCTCCCACCAGTGGTCTAGCTCCTCGCACCCAGACCCAAGCCGGATCCTTGACTTCAAAAGTGGGGTGGACAAGTTCACGACTGCGGCCCGTGTGTATTGTATAGAGTACGTCACAAACTCTTTCCTTCGCCGAGGATTCAATTTCTGTCTTTGCAGGCAGCCCTGCGCAATATGCGCTCCGGGCGGATGCAGCTGTCTCAGGATGGCGTTGCTTTCGTCAGGGGCAACCTGAAGCGCAGAGTGTGCCCAGATGATCTGAAGCTTGCCTGCGGCCGCAGCAGCATGCATCCTAGTGTGCTCCTATTGCTGTTCGCGAGACTTCAGACCCCAAGTCGGAATCGATGTTGAATGCTGTTAGGAAAGCTGTCGCGAGTGGCTGGCTCTGGATTGACTACAGCTCCATCCCCCAAGTTGGCCTCCACAGCTTCGACCAATCTCAGCTTGACGGCGCCTTTACGCGACTAACCTGACTAACTTTGCATCGTCTATTGTACCCCCTCGATATATCTCAGCTCCCGAGGAAGGCGGTGATGAGTTTGCACACGTACGTCGCTGACAGCTCGTTCTTTGTCATTCTTGCTCCGAGCAACCTGGAAGCAGATCATGCCATCCGACAGACACCTTACATAGACTTGGGTAAAGCGAGCGACGACCCAGGTCAGCACCACGAGAAGGGTCATTTGATGAGCTACAGCTCTTGGAAATCACGAGGTCGGAAGCAGCAGGGTTTGGGTGCATGGGAAAGCACAACCACGATCAGACAGGAAGCAGTTCACTTCAGCAAGAAGGGCTGCAGGATTTTCCTGTCCGGAGATCCAAATGTGGGGGTTGCATCAAGCTCCAGAGATGGCTTCAAAAGTTCGCTTTATGTGGCCTTAGTTCGTGGTGCTCTGCCGATGTATTTCCGAATGGCAGCAAAAGAGTCTTCTTTCTTTTGCGTGGGGATCTGCAGACTTCGCAAGTCGAGGGATGCGGCAAGCCATGGGGAAGTACATGCTCACTCGCGGCTCTTGTCATTTGGACTAATGGTTCCTATCAGGCATAGGTTTTTGTTGCACGAATGTTTGCTTTCTCGTGGCGAGGTTGGTGCCAGTTTGAGCTGGCGGTGAATATTCTACTGGGTACGAAGCCAGTCCTGCTGATCTCCAGTGAGACCGCGGTGAAACACCTTTGCTTCCGCATGTTTTACCACCTCGCCCCTTGCTGTGCCGAATTTACCAACGAGTCTGATCGACACCACATCGCTGCAGCCATGCAGCAAGTGGTAGAATTTCAAGCTGAGGAGCACAGGAGTGCTGGTCGCAGCCATGAGTCACAAATGCTTGAATGCTTGCGGTGCAAGCTTCTGCGGTTCCCGACTAGTCCAGATCCAAGCTGTCCAGCTCCCGGCCTGCGGAAAGTTTCAAGGACACGCTCGTTCCTCAACTTGCCAGAGCCTCAGGCATCACTGGTGCACAGGCACAGTAGGAGGCATAACCAAGATTCACGAAGCCAACTTAAACGCTTCGCCATAGATCGGGTCCAGTGTCAACAGTTGTTTCCAGGTGTTGAGTAGCACGTCGGACATACAAATCTTCCGGTGATGAGGACGGACTCCCACAATGGGTGGACCGACCTCCACTATGCGGTGGCAAGGAGTAATGAAGAGATGGTGGTCAAGATACTGGCAATGCGTGCGGACGTACATGCCCAAACGCTTGGTCCGGAGGTTGACTTCTTCTTGCGGGGTGGTCTGACGCCACTGCACATTTGGACATGCTTCTCCACTTCTGCTCACATAGCCGAGCTGCTGATAAGCTACCAGGCTGACGTGAACTTTCCTGCTCAGCGAAGGTGGACTCCATTGATGGTTGCCTGCGAAGTCGGGAACGAGCTGGTAGTGCGCACGCTCCTTCGATTACGTGCAGACCCAAATGGCCAGACCCGTTTAAACACTCGTCCATTGAGCGTGGCGGTTTGCTACGACTATCCGAGCCTTGTTGATCCTCTCTTGGAGGCCAGAGCCGATCCGTGGTATGAATGGGCTGGAATTGGCACTCTCCACCAACTTGGTGCTTCGGGATCTGGAGGATCTCTTGAGCGACTGCTGAGAGAAGGACTCGATGTCAATTCGAGGGCGTACTTCAACCTCGTCTCCAAAGCTGGTATTGCTCATTTCCTGTATCGCTTGTGGGATCGGGACATACGTCACGACTATCAACTTATGCAGGGGGGCACACCTCTCGTCTTCGCTGCGGCTCGTGGTAACTGCGAAGCGTTGCAGGCTTTGCTGGAAGCCCAGGCAGACATTCACATCCCGAACAGTTGGGGGCAAACGGCCTACCAAATCAGCGCACAAACAGGCAGCTCTTCTGAAATATGTGGGGTGGTTGGGTGCCTTTTTGGGCACCCTAAATACTAGGTGCCGTATTGTAATAAGGACCCAAAAAGGGACCCTAATTTTGACAACCACCCATGTGTCGGACAGATCCCCTGAAGCTGATAGCAAGTGCCACAGGCACCGCTGATTTGCCAGGTGAGAAAGAGCAGAAAACTGGAGACCCGCTCCTGGTAAAATGGCTTCCAGTGGCCAAAAGATTCCCCGCATTGATCCAAGTTTCCCTTGTCGCTTGCCTGTCAAGGTGTTCCAGACGAAGTTCTACAGCTCTTGAGATCTCCAGCAGAGGCAGCGGCATGACGTGTTCCCGTGGGAGACACCTGATTCCCGACGAAAGTTCGTTTACGCCGTGTCGGGCTGGGCAGCGGTACCACCCTATCTTCCTGCCGGACCCGAATATCGAAGACTGGCAGAGTGGGCAGCTGATTCCCTTCACTAGTCCCGCCGGCCACTCCTTGGTTTCCATTCCGGAGCAGAGGCCTAAATCAGGCAACTGGTCCGTTTCGGAACGAGGCTTGAACACCTTCTTGTCAGGTGACTGATGAGAGATGGGACTTACATGCCCCCCGAGAGGATGCACGGCAAGTGCAAAATGCATGCAGCACGAACACAAGTTTGCTTGGGCTTTGGCTGTTGACCGCAGATGATATGTTTGAAGTAGCTTCACTCCTAAATGCCTTCCAAGTTCGCTTGTTCCCTTTGTCCTTGACAAAGTCTTTCGCCTCTAAGAAGAAACTGTTGGCGGCTGGAACCGTGCATGACATCGCACCACCAAGCCTTCCAAGGTCAAGCTTGCCTTTGACCCACGGCTTCTTTGAAGAGCTGTTCGGAGGCGCCAGTCCTTGTCACTTCGGCTTCGACCTTGCGTGCCGAGAGAGTTCGGGAGTCCGGAGGCGCTCAGAACATTCATTTCGAGATGGGCGGAGGAGGCCCAGAGCCGCCAGAGCCGCTCGCATCCGCTCAGCCGCTTTCTGTACAGTCGGCTCTCGGCTCTCTGACAGGGCGCAGGCAACAGCCTGTGCAGTGGCCGCAGGGTGTATCAGACGAGGCCATTCAGCGATGCCTTGCTACTCTTGCACTTGTTCTAGGATGCCTCACAACCCTTCAACAACCCTTCACGCTTAGCCGCTTGGAGTCTTCGACGGCCCGCTCATAGGCTGGGTTGCATCCCTGCCAGGTCTCCAAGACAATGTCGTGGCTAAAGGGCACGGAAGCTTGTTTGCATATGGGTGTATTGCCGTGCTTTCTCACATGTGAGAAGGCCATACCTCACGTAGCTCCCAAAGGAGTGGGCCTGGAACAACGATGGCTTCACCATCAAACTAACTCGCGATGGAGACATCGAGGCACCCATCCAGCAGCAGCTTGGCTTGCAGTATCTCCAGCCACCCGGCGAAGCTACCCCCGAAGCCACGACTCAGGAGTCAGGATCTACCGTACAACTCCCGGCTACGCTGAGGTGCCAGCGTGGTTGCAAATGGACTGCCGAGAATGGCAAGCTGTACCTGTCCGTTGGCAATGCAGGGATCTTCGAGCCGCATGGCCCAAATGCCTGGCCGTACTCTTCCATGATGTGGGCTGGCTTTTGGCCGAAGCTTTAAGTGTGTGGACACAGACGAAGAACGTGTCAGTTTGAAACGCCTGTGTTTACGTTAGGCAACCTGCTCCAACGGACAGAATCGGCAATTTGTGCATGCATTTCTTAGAGCAATGTTGGTTTGGGGATGCTTGCGCGCACATGCCACTCTTCAAGCGCATGCAGCGATGTGTGGCTTGTGTGCAGCCTCTGCTTGCATCACCTGCTGCACACACAAGTTCCCACCCTGCCACCCCTTCTTACAGTGTCTCTATGTGGCCCCGGAATGGGCGGTGCTTCGTGCTTGCCCCTGGCGCGGGCTGTGTTAGCATGGGCTTTTGCCCGGTGTAGCCCCGTGTGGCTTTTGTAAGCATCGTGAGGGAGAATGAGCCAGCAGCAGGATTCCCTGCCGCTTGGCGGAGTGTGCATTCCGACCATTGAAAAGACATGCGTGTGTTTGGTCATCTTAACATAATGTGTGTTCCGATGTCGACTTCGGAATCCAAGCCACCGACACAAAAAGCTGAAAGGAAGAAGACGAATCTTTAATGCGGGTAGGCATGCGTCCTTTTACCCTCAGGTGCTTGATAAGTTCCGCAAGCGCGTCTTTTCCTCAGGCTCTAACACCCTCACCATTCAGATGACTTTGGCTGTCATTGACATGTCTTGTGTTTGCACGCAAAGCTAATTGGCAAATCGATACACGAAGCTGTCTGACATCTTGCCAGTGCACTGAGTCTCGGCTGAGAGTTTGGCCACGCTCGGCCCCATCATGCTAAAGTCACCAGGTAGCTGAAGATTCTTCTGCACTTTGCCTGAAGACTCTGCTTGGTCATGGCTACCATAGCTTCCCAGGTTAGTTGCGCCTGCATCTTGGTTGCACGATTGATGCCTTCGTCACGTGAAGGCCAGGATAGAAAGTTATCATGTTGTCGGATGTCAGCAAGTCTTAGTGGAAATACTTCACCGGTTGACTGTGCACACGGTCTCCAAGTCTCTCCTGAGCACAACACCGAGGACCCGAAGCCGTCCCGGCTTGAGGGCCAGCGGCTGAAAGGCTTGGGCCTTGCGTAGCAGCCCCCGCTACTGTAGCCATTGTTACTAGCCCCTGCTGCGCACACTTTGCTCGACAACAACCACTGATTTGGGAGTGAGACTCTTGCAAATAAAGGGAGCGGTGCATACTCTCTTGCTGTTGGTGAACGACTCCTTGCTACTGCTTTTCCTACTTTACTTCCTGTTTAGCCGCGGAGTCGTTCGATCCCGTTGTCAACCAATTTAGCCCGAGTGTGTCAAGGGGAAGCAAGCTCAGAAAGGTCGAAGTCACAGGAGCAGTGGGCAACGTCATTTCCAAAGTTTCGGCTGAGTAGGAGACAGAGAGAGAGGAGCAGGAGGAGGAGCAGGAGGAGGAGGAGGAGGAGGAGGAAGAAGAACAGGGGGCATGTGTAGTGATTTTGATTGCAACGAGAAAAGCTTTAGGGCCCGCAACGGCTTCTAGTTGCTGGATGACTTCCGGTTCCGGGTGCGCAGGCAACTCCAAGCGAAATCCGCGGGAGCATCTTGGACAAATTTGGCAAGCAGAAATGCCCAGACCTGGCTCTGTGACAAGAAATCTGCCCTTGTACACCAACTTGTTCGCAATTCTGCAAAGCACACCCTATTGCAGGCGCTCCCCGGTTTGCTTGCTGCCATAGCAGGCGCTTGACGCTGACATTCAACCGGATATTTGACCACGAAGCTGTGGACTTGGACAAGGAGTCAGCGGTTTGCAATTCTTCGTGAAGGCTTGTGTTCGCCAATGCCTGAAGGCTTCTGCTATGTGTCCAAGCAAAATCTCCGCAGAAGAGCCCGCAGCACTTAAACAGCTAGGCCCTCTCCTTCAGTCTTGCTGACATGCGGCGAAGAGTGATTGAAAAGACCTCCGTCATGGGGAGGATTTGTATGAAGTTCTCGGCCTCGCCGAAGACGCTGATGAGGCGAGCATCAAGAAGGCCCCAGCATATGGTGTGCCTGGGTAAAGCACTGAAAGGCGACGAAGTATTTCTTTGGCTTAGTTTCATTGTATCACGGCAGGTGTATCGCAAGCTCTCGATTCAGCTGCCTGGCTGCAGGGAAAGCGCGTAGGGCGTAGTTCGGCTCGGCACGGATATTAGCCAGCTCCTGCCAAACGGGTGAGGCACCACCCGGACAAGAATCCAGACGAGGCGTCCAAAGCCAAGTTCGCCGAGATCCGACCCTGGTTGCAATGATGGCTTCAATGCAAGGTTTAGTAGAAGTATGCCATGCGTTATATGTAAGGCAAATCGGAGTCCTCATTTGGCCCTCTTGCTTGCTTTGGGCCCTGCTTCAGCAGACCGCAAGCGACCTGTGAGGAGATGCGTACGAGGTTCTCAACGATCCGGACAAGAAAATCCTGTACGATACAGGCAGCGAAGCGAAAGTGCAACTCGTTCACGGCCTCAGACCAAAGCAACCACAACTGATCCTTGAAGTCTCAAAGTCTCCGCTTGCGACGCATCGCATTGGAGGTGGCATGGCGGCCGTCAAGGACTCCGAGAAGGGCAAGGTCGAGACAACCAGTGACGTCAACTCCGCGACTTGGAGCGTCGTTGTGGCACGATAGTAGATTCCGGCCAAATAACCTCCGCAAGACATCGCGAGACCACACTCATCCAGAGGCAGGCAAATCCCTCTTTGCTAGGCCATTCTTCGAGCATGAAGAAACAGCCCATGTCAGCACAGTGTCCTTGACAAGAGCCCGAGCCTTCCTTAATCTACTCCTCGGAGGTTAGCAGCTGCGTTGCATTCGCTGTCTGGCTCAGGAAATTGAGGTGGGCCTAGAAGACCTCTACCTAGGCACCGAGTTCCGCGCCACGGCCACTTGCACTTATGTTCAGTTTATGTTTGCAAGCCCTCAGCACGACAATCTAGTCGAAGTGCCCTCGACTCATACAATACTTCTGCTGGCAGATCTACACTGGAAGCTCTCTGTGTGTGTGTTGTCTCGAACAGATCACAAATGCCCAGCCCGATCACAATGTGTTATGACACAAGGTCAAGCGAGGAATCGCCGCAGGCTAAGAACGAACGATTGTGACTCGTGCGTGTTGCGGGCAAAGGATGCCACTTACGAGTTGCATGCACTGACACGGCGCGACCACTACTCTCCAAAGGGAAGATGTGACGGACCTGGCCTGCCTTTCCCAAGGTTTGCAGAGGTTGTCGGAAGAACCCCAACTCCCCCAACTGCAAGGCCGGCTTTGTTCCAGGAGTGCTCTGCTCAAAAAACTTCCGCCGTCTGTTGAATCGCCGTTCACGGCTATTGACTCAGCCGAGATCTTCCTTCCAGAAACCTGAATGTGCCGCCGACCTGTCGCAGGGCTGTCGAAAATGTAAGAACCAGATCAAGGCCCGTCCGCATCGCATGGCTGCACAGCCCGCGGTCCAGCTGCAGGGCCTGGCATCGGTTTCTTGTGTCAGGTGGTGCAGGTCCAGATGGGCCCATTCCTCACCCAGCAGCAGCAGGAAGTACCCAGCAAGGCGAGGGTGACTCACACTCTCACTCCGGTGGCAGAGCTTTTGCTTGGTCAGGAGAAGTGCAAGGACGTCGATGCACCGCTGGATGTTCACATTGAGTCCCTTGGTGTTATTTATTTCGTTTCGTTGCTAATGAAGCTCACATCAGCTCCAACTGCAACCTCCCACAACCATGGAGGCTTTCCAAGACCGTGAAGCACGCTGCTCGTGTTGCTTTGGATCCCCTGTGTTGATCGCACAGTTTGTGCTGGCAAGGAAAGGCATGGCCAGCGGTGACACGGTCACATTCCCGCGAATGGCGGAGGCACTAGCTGCCATCAGAGTGAGAAGATAGATCTGAAGGGCTACTTCAGACCTGTATCGATACTAGGGCGTATATCGGCGAGCATGTGAAGCGATGCTAGGTGTCCGGCGGCATTCCAATGGGATGAAAGTCAATTTTCCAATCAAAAAACCTTGTCCCGATCAACGAAGTTGACTATGGGGGGAAGCAAGGGAACAAAGGAAGGAACATAATGGCGTGGGATCTGGACAAAACGCACACGAGCGCAACCTGTCGAAGAGCCCAGTCCAAGCCTGTCAGAGTGCAGAGAACCTCCGTCGGGGGACCCAGAAACGAGGACAGTCTTCTTTCTGCACATGGGGACGAGGCGAGAGCCAATTGAACAGCAGCAAACGCAAATCCCGCTACAACAGACGTGCCACATCAGCCCGTCCAGCATCCCAAAATGAGGGAAAGCGCGATACTAGCACGCAAGCCTCGAATAAGCACGGGACCCAGGCGGGAGCAGTACGGACTGCGCAAGGGCTATGTGCATGCAATTCCCGATGTTTGGGACGCCGGCACCGGACTTTGCCTTGGACCGTCAAGAAAATTGTTGTTTATTATTGGGAAAGGTTTTGGTTGGTGAAAAATCTATCATGAAAAGCAAATGGATGTATTCTGTCTGTTTGAGCACTTCTGAAACGATGCTGTACTATGTCAAAAGAGGTCTGGCGGTGATGTGCTGTGATGTCATGCCATTTGGTGTTTCTTTGGTGGTTCACGACAAGTTTGTACAAAACGAAATTGTTTTCATGTCGTACTTGCGCTGTTTGCGCATTCCGACAAGAGCTCTCAGTGAGTCAGCTGACCGCCAGGAGCGCCCCGGCATGCTGCCTGGAAGTGTCATCCTCAAGCTGAAGGCCCGGCTAGTGTTTGGGTTTAAGTCTTCACGATACAGAAGAACACAGTAGCATTCTCGAACCTGAAGCAGAGCATCAAAGAATCCGAATATTCTTGAAAGCGACGCAACACAGCCTAGCACAGCTCGACAAGGCATCAATCAACAGTCGTCATCTGAAAGAAACATCCCAGCACTTGGCTCTCAAGACGTTGTGCAACTTAATGTGGCAAATGTCTTTCAGAGACAGGCCAAGAAGCACCCGCGTTTCGAGCGTCGCGGAAGCGACTTGCACACCGCCGGAGCCTCGAAGCGAGGGGGCGGTAGTGATGCTGGGAGAATGGCCCTGAAGTGAAGGACTTGAAGATCAGCCTGCGAGAGTCACTCCTGGGCTGGTCTAGAACCATCCAGCACTTGGATGGACCCCGGGACAAACTGCCATAGTTTGCCATTGCCGCAGCCTTGAATAGAGAGGTTGTTCTCAGGGTGTAAAGAATGCAGCTGATGTCAGAGCCGGTTCGCTCGGAAGTCCTTGCAGCATCTCACGCAACATGTTGGATGACTAGATTGACATGGCTTCGCGGAGGACACGAAGTCGAAATCAAGCAGACCGATGTGACCAAGCACCTGCAGGCACCCAGTAGCACATGCACTAAGCAACCACCACAGATTGAACTTGACAGGTCTTGAAAACACGAAGCGAGGGGATGCCGCACCGTGATGATCCTGCTAGCTTCGGAGACCTCCACGTGAAGGCAGGACGGTGAGCGCAGGCTTTTGCTCCGACCAAAGTCGAGCCCAGCCAGGTGTCCGTCGAGTTCCCAAAAACCTTGACTCCGCAGCAACGTGAACCTTTTCAGCAGGGCAGGAGCATATAGGAGGATTGTAGGGACGCTGCGTGCGCGCGTAAGTGTTTCGTAGATCTCGTGAAGATAAGGAAGCCATCGCGCAAGTATTCCCAGGCCGGGTGCAGTAGCGAAGTGTCGAAGAGCTGTGCACAGGGCACGCGGTTCAAGACCACTAGAGTCCAGACTTTCAAGCTTTTTTGCTCTTGCGCCAGATGGAAGAAGCGAGCTTTGAGCGACCAGTGATGTCCGTGAAAGCGGCGGAGAGGTGCCTTGGGCCAGGAACCCTAGGAATAACGGCCAATTCAGGAAGTTAGCGTGCTTATTCCTACCGTCTTACAATCCCAGGAACAGGGATGCACGAAGAGTTTTGATTTGCGAAGCAAGCCCTTTGAAAGGGACTTGCACGTTTTCCAGCAATTCGACCTAGACGTCCGTTGCCGTTGAAGCGATTCTTGCCATATGCAGAGAGCATACATGGGCCTTGCATGTTGGGCAGAAAGCAACTACGTCATGGAAGGATGCCGAAAAAGCCAGAACCCTTGACATCTCCTTCATCAAGAGCATGGCCAAAGATGGCATGCCTTATGGGAGAGGAAAATGCCTGGACGGCTGTGCCAAGAGTGCTCTGGCACTGTAGCTGTCCGGAATGAAATCCATTTGGAAGGATTGTAAAGACCATTGCGGCTGCACAGTGGCGCGCAAGCAAAAAGGTGCTGCCTATCGGCTATTCTATCCACATCTTTCTGCTCCTGGGCAGCGGTCTCTAGCGCGGAAGATCCCTGAAGTATCTTGAAAAAGCTGAGGCCGAAGAAAAGTCATGAAGCGGGTGAAGGAGGGTCCAAAGAGGTTCGCTGGACAGCATGTTGTGCGGATTAGCTCCGTCCGTCAGCTTTTCTCAGAATGTGCAAGAAGGCGCACACGGCGTTCAGAATGCGTCCGGTATTGGCCAGGCGACCCATGCCTAGAAGTGCGGCGACATCCAACGATCCAACCGTCATCGAAGATGCGGGCTCTGATGCGAAATCTAGCGCATGAGAGGAGCAGGTTTGATCGATCCGGAAACGATAGGACGAAAGGATTAAGGCTTCGAAGAAAGACTCATGGGTAGATACCTTTGCTCGGGAAAAGGATGTAGCATGCTTCATTTGTAGCAGCTCTGGCAATTCCAGGCTTAGGCTTGTTGCAGCCATGTGCATGACGACCCCGGAAGTTGGTCTCAGGCCGGCCTTGGTGGCTAGGATGCAGCATCACGAAGCCGCCACAACCGCCTGGAAAGCAGTCGAACCCCGGTTTGGGATCATGTCGGGTTGTGTGCACATGGACTGCTGTGAAATTCGCTTGCAAGGACGTTGATGTGGAGCCTTTTCAAGCCATAACACCGACACTTGAACAAGGTTTGTCGGACGTCCTGTGCTGCCTCTCATGAAGGGGCCAAAGAGTTGGCACCCCATTCAATTTCAGCTAAGCATGACCTGCACATCACAGCGTCGACAGATTAAAATGGTGCGGACCTGGGCTTCTGTCATTTGTAGGCCTAGTCAAGTCCTACCTACGGGGTTTAGGTTTAGGGATTTTTTGTAGGGATTCTGAAAGTCAATCGTGAATAGCAGTTGAGTGACAATTCTTTAAGTAAGTCATATCACTCATAGAAGCTACTCGTGGTTGTTGCTGATTCTCACATTATGTATGCATTCTTCCGAACATGTTCATATCATGCTTGCGTTCAGAACCTTGTAAACTGCTTCATTATGAACTTATAGTGGGAAATGTCATGAGGTCAAGCAACACAATACAAGTATGATTCAGTATGATGTTATAAACGGAAGGTATATCATTTATTGGAATCTTTATGTGTGTATTTCCCTTGCTGTCCCGGAGAGAGAATGTCTATTCATGTGTCTCTGTCTATGTGATTCTGTCGGTTTGGATTTATGAGATTGCGTCACATTTTCGATTTGACGAGTTATGATCAATCGCGCGAAATTCGTTGATTCTCGTTAGATGTCGTGTTTGCGACGAGCTCTCGGAAATCTTGAGATTTTTGTTATATG